AGTAGCAAAACGAAATATCTGATCACATTCGTTACGCACGAACGGATCCTGAAGGTGTCCTCGAGAACCGAGACGTGTCGTACTTAGGAATTGTACTAATGAAACCTTTTCATGAATTGTTGTCACGTTCAGCAGTGTATACAACGTGGGTACACAAGAAATGTGAACTTAAAATCTATACAATTCATTTTATGTAAGCGAACGTTCCCATTACATCCCCCCGTATCGATCTCGTAGCTGAAAGGTTCTAAAAGACGTAGACACTGAATATTGATGTAAAGTCAAAGTCAAAGTCAAAATCATTTATTTCAATTAGACCAGGATGGCACTTTTGAACGTCAAACAACAAAAAATTATAAGTGAAGCTAGTTGCTCATTCCAAGGCGTAGATTCCTATGGAGAAGAACGAGCAAGAAACTCCATAGGTTACTCTTTTTCAATCAGGTTTACAATACAATTCTCTAGTTACATAGTTTTATTGGTGTAGAAAAACACATAGTTCCAACGCTGATGACATTATGTTCCTATCCTATAAGAGTTAGCAATCACCATCGGCTGCATGCAATTCAATTTCCAGTCTCCAGCTGAAAAGTTTGCCTAACTAGAAACTGAAACAAGGTTCCCTGCTTCTACGCATTTATGCTTGAACCTATCGTTAAAATCTAGTTAGTTAAAATATAGATTACATGTTTTGTTACCGATGTAACTCGTAACAACTTCAGCTTGTCACACAAATTCAAGTTCAAGTGTGCTAAAACATTTATCGTTCCACTTACATACCTACGTGGTTCCGTGACTTTTTCGCTTGGTCGGCAAGCAGTGACGTCATTCACATGTTAAGGTTCGTAAACCAAAATGTCATCCTCGCTTACATCACCTACGATTTACCAAGGTATGTCTTTACCTACCTTATGTACCTTTGATGATTCATACACAGTTTACAGCTGCTCATTTAAATACGTCCCCACTGAACTAGGAATTTGTACACAAATTCCATATTTTGCCGCCAGTTTGTGGGTGCTTGTCGAATATCTTGTACATTCTCTGTAAACTCGGTTTCGAGAAATTGTGTGTGCCTCAAATGGAAACAAAGGAAATTAGAAGTCTTATCATTGCACGCTTGTAAGTAACTACATACACCTGCCAAGTTTAGTTTCCAATAAATACTAAGCATACATTCTATCTGTGTTGAATTTTACACTTATATTTATTTGGCATGATAAATTGTAGACAGTTTCTAAGTGTGATTTTGAAAGTTTTATTATTCTTTGTTGCACGAGTGAATTAAAATAATGTAAGAGATGAATTAAGAAATACTTAATTTCATTCAAAATCATGATCACAATCACTCGATAAGACTGGTCCCTTCTCATTTCCACATCAAAGGTCTTTTATTGAACTTGCAATGAAACGTAAATCTTGCTTGCATAACCTTATTACAAAGTTAGATGGGAAAGTTCCGCGGCGTACAATTCTGTAATACCGATAATAGTGAGTATCGTATGAATTCCATTGTTCTTCAACCAATATAACGATTACACCGGAATCTTCACTTTTCTTTGTAACTGTAATTTAACTCATTTTGATTCATGATGCGCAGAAAACGATCAAATCTTTTTATTCGAATTCCATCTTCATATTATTAATACCTTCATATTATTATGAATACTTTGCTAATAGAATAACTTTAGTTCAGGAAATTATGGATTATTCTTAAATATGGATTGGAGTTAAACATTTCTCATTAATGAAACATGTTTTACGACCAAGTTTCCAATGGATCAACTACAAGATTAATTTGTTCTCCATAATTGAAACTATTTTCGAACCAATTTCCTAAGTTGAACCTTTCCAAGTTAGATAAAGTATTCCCTAGAGGAAAATTTCAAGTTCTCTCTATAGTTAGAACGGTTTAACACTTAGGCTTTGGAGACTTACATTTCGGTTTTGTTAGTCCATTTTCGTAGGTTTACGATAGCTACTACTAATCTTTAATACCATTTCAGAACTTAGGAGCTTCTAAATAGTTTCCAAATAGTTCATTAAACAAGGCTATCTTAAATCATAAGACATGGCATTAATTAATACAAATATCACATGGTGCTGTCAATACAAACGCTTACTAGATCACAGACGTAAGTATTATGCAAATTGCAACCGAGTTCTCAATAGTGTCGTGTTCATTGTTTGAAACAAATGATTCTGCAGAACATATTAGCAATGCGTCGATATTCTCCTCGGTTCCTTTACTTACTTCCTGCATAATTTGTATGCGGAAACGTTGTACAGCCGTCGTTACCAGTAAGAGTAACTCATCGAATATAAAATGCGGGTTTATCAATTGATGTTTCTTATTTGGAACTCAAATGACGCATTGTAGGCAGACTCGAAATCGTACAATTTTGTATCTTATTTATTTTTGTGGTTTACACCGGCGACACGAATTCCAGTATCGAGTGCTTTTTGAATTAGTAATTGAATAGGTAAATAGTGAACAGAAGTGCTACAATTTTATTTTTGCTTCCGAGGTGTGTTTCATTCACTTATCGACAACAAATCTTGAAGAAACAACAAAACAGGAACCCTATGTTTGTACTCCGAAGGTTTATCATTAATTCATTTTATTATATGACGCAGATAATTGACAGTGTCGCGACCTACTTCCAGCTAATTACACCAGTAATAAATCATTACCAAGTTATCTCATTACGCGCAAGATCAAAAGGTTATCCATGAACAGCGGCGCTTTTCCCAAAATAAATCAAACATTGACACAGATACATAAAAATATCAATTACCTAATTAAGTTGCTCGTAATCTTTTCAATTACGATAATTGAAAGGCATTGAGAATTTCACTGGACACTTGGTATAGTGTTTTAAGAATCGATTACTGCAAAAAGAGAATCGATTTGTTACACAACACTAATGCAGCCACAGCTGCCTCCAGCAAGGTTAGATGTTACGTGATTATTAAATCGAGTTTAGTTTCGATTCTTACGATATTATTTGTTGATGGATGCCTTGTCGCGGCGACGTAACCAATCGGTAACTATGTTATGACTGCACTGATGGATGTATGAGATAAGTAATGATCTGTGAACGCTGTGTATTACACTGAACATTGAACAAGTAATGTAATATAGATGAGTTATAATATATGCGTGTAAAAACGGGCAGCGGTTTTTATAACCAAGTAGGTAATATAACCGCACAAAAAGGTTTGTTGAATATGCTTTGTTTGTTGTGTAAAGGACAGGGTTGGTTGAAAAAGGAGTGCTAAAAGCCTCATATCCATATTCCCAAAAAGCTATAGTTAAGCCCTTGATGGTTTTGTTAGTGGGTTTTAACTGAATAAGGTAAGCATTATTTTGTAGTTCCCCAACGGTTTTGTATGAGGGTGGCTAAAGAGGTCATTGGCTTATGGCGGAGATAGACAAGTTGTCTATGCAGGTAGAAAATTCCCCGCATTATCAAGTAATACGGTCTTTCAAATGTTTGCCGAAAATTATTTTGCGTACAAAATATTTGTTAATCATGTACATAATTACTTGACTAACATAGGTAGATGTTATTTATTTAATTTTTGTTCTTAAACAGGTAGCCTACGGACTGCTAATTAAATATTGGAATTTTAACCACGCGTAATTGACGTTTAGCGGCATTTTATTTACCAGACTTAAGTAGTTTCACCTAAATACCGCAGTCCATCATTGACAACTTGGACTAACCTTCGTATATTAATTAATATTCCATTTTTTTACACTTACGCAAGGCTTTACTTATTGGTACTTGCAGAAATAGGTAGGTATGTGCAAATAGATTCGTAAAAGGAGACGGACAAGTTAAGAAACCTGTCGGGACTTAATGACTTTGAAGTGGTCAATGGTTACAATGTTGTATAGTCGTTACAGGTGCTTATTACAAAATCTTGGCACCGTATGGGTGACCAACTGCTGTGCAATGTCGCGATTTTGATTCATACGTTGGAGGAAAATGTTTTCAATGGATTTTTTAAATCAAAATTAACATAGGTATAGTCGAGACCTCGTGAGTCAGAAAATTCGATATTATTTCTGCCGTATTTTAGGTCATTTGAATTTGTCTTCCCATCCGATAATTAGTAATTGGAGTGAAGGATCAGATTTTCGAACCGAATTTTTGCGCTATCTAAATACAGTAGGTATCTCCTGTATGATCTCCTAGTGGGTTAGTCTCTTCTTTTGTGGTTGCCTACCGTAACCAAAAACAGCTATTGCAAAATTAACACGTTATCGGATAGTTGTAGAAATTGTATTCTGCTTAGTCGGTTGCTGTAACCTTTTGATCTCTGAGATTGAGATAGATTATGATTGATGTCTAAGGTACCCACATAGGTACATAACCTAAATGTCAGTCCAACCAACCATGTTATTAGGTATTAATCTGTTACAGCAGTAGTTTTATAAACATAGTGATCGTTTAACTGTTTATTTTATTGCGTCCCAATTATGAGCCATATAAAATTGGGCGTATTTGTAAATGTCTTCACACTTCTCCTTCTTCCAGTCCTCGTTATCTCAATCTCAAGCTATTTGGGGTTGATACAAGATGTCTTCTTTTTAGACATCTGATTCCCCAGTTTATTCAAACGGCAAATTAACGCCATCTAGTTTGGAATGATGACATTAAACATTGAATTGTTTTTATCGTGTTAGTGAGTTGTTTATTAGTTTTTGTGATAGCAGTTAGCGGCCTAACAATTCCTATACATTTAGGTAATATTGATCATCTTCGATAGTCAACATGTTAGTATTAATTTAAAAGAATATGAACTATTGACTGTAATAATGATTTAGATTACTTCAACAGCCTTATCTCTACATCCATGTACCCACGTCATCCTATTGTTTTTCATACTTAAAATAAAATACAATTAATGTAAATAAGTAAAGAAACAATGCAGGTTACGTAATCTGATGTCTCTTGTTACAGTATTCAATGATGGAGTGACAATTCAAAATGCGGTGGTTCCAGAAGGGCGAGCCGCCGCGGCTTCTAGCCGTCACGCCAGACGAGCCGCGGCCCACGCGTCGGTCAAGAATCGGTAAGCTGACACGACATGTACCTAATTTCCTTTGGGAATACTATTACAAGTCTTATTAGAGTGTAGTGTCTAAATTAGGTATGTACCTTTTTTATGATAATTATTCTATCCAATCCATCGGCTCGTTATCCGAATTGAGCAGACGGATCACTTTGTGGTAATTAACCAATCAACGTCGCCCATGGGCAGCTGCGACACCAGGTTATATTCAAGTGCGTTACTGGCCTTTGAGATTTGAGGATGGGGAATTCGGACATTGAGCCCTCTATACATATAAGAAGACTCGAGTATTTATTTCTAATTTAATTTACCTTTTTCGATAAAAATCAGTTAAAGTTAAAGGAAAATGGTTTTCTTGGAAAGTGTATTTTAGCTTCACGACTTATCTTTTGTTTTTATTTAGTATCAACTGATTACGATTAGGCATGTGCAATTTATAATTATCTTTGTATACCGTAAAAATATTACGTCACAAGCTGATACTTATTTTAATTAGAATTTTCCTTTCTGAGACTAGAAAAGCATGGAGTTTGAAATGCACCTGACCTTTTTTGGTAACGGCTTGGTCCATTATTGCCTTACATTTAATTATGTTATAATAACTGGACTAATATAGTAATTAGGTATTTAGACATATTTACTAGGTAATATAAATATGCACATCTTCCCTTTCAAAAAATTACACGTGAATGAAATAAACATAACATCACGCCTTTTATCCCCGGACGGAGGGGTAGGCAGAGGTGCACATTATGCCACTGTACAATGTAACAGACACTTTTCACTATTTATGCTATGAATCCCATGTGTATGTGTGTCATGGTGGGTGAGCCTATTACCATATATCGGGCACAATTCCAGACTCCATGCTACTGCTGAGATTTTTTTTAAAACGCAGTAATACTATGCCCGACCCGGGAATCGAACCCGATACCCGTAGCCGGCAGTCACACTTGCGACCACACTAAAATAAAATAACATCATGTAACAAGCAGTTTTCTCTATAACTATCCAATGTTAAAAACGTTAAAAAACTAGGCAATGAGGCAAACGACTTCAAACAAGATTCTTCGCCTTTACGTATTCTTTTCAAACATTACCAAAGAAATGTTTTATACTTAGTTTATCGGAAACGCGAAGAAATGCAGTCAAGGTCAGTGGCGTTATGCAACATCCGTAGTTTATGTTATGTAGTGATGTTATATCATTGTCAAATGTAGACTTTGTTGACATTTTTTATTTTACTACGACTTTGAAACCGTAGACATGTACTTATTCTCTTGAGAAATCGGTGGGTTAGATTTTTAATAATGAATATAGATTTGATACTGTGTGACTTTGACAGTCTAGTTCAAAAGAGGAAAGGTGTATAAAAATACTACAAGACAGGAAAAATTATAAAAAAATACCTCTTACGCCGAGTGTGATCTCTGATCTCTACAGATACTTAAATTCTTTAATTTCTTTTTAGTTTTTAAAAATGTGTAATTTAGGTACCTACCGACCAGAAATCTATAATAATTGATACTCGCCCCTATTACGTGTAGTGTAATTAAACTAATAAATACAGCAGAGAAAACATAACGAGCGCAATTTTACAAAGACAAAATGTACCCTTCCTACTAAAATACGATATAGTTAATCCAAATCAATATAAACTTAAATGTCTTTACGCAAACCTATTGAATCAATAACCATTCAATACTTATAAAGCGTTGCCCACGAAAGTCCATACAAACCACAATACAAGGTGCGCAAAGGGTGTTTAAAAAGTGCATAAAACGCACCCACACTGTGAGAGTTGCATCCTGCATTGTGTGGGATAATTTTATTGGACTCTTTGGCCCACCCACTATATCTAAAATCTTTGTCCTACAAATTGTCTTGCTTCCTCTTGACCGAGTGAACGCAATTTAAAGATTTTATCATATTAGGGACCGTTTTAACGTCTGCGTCTACTATCACTTGTATCACTATAAACTAAGAAGTTATAAGACAAGAATATTACTTTGTTGTTAACATCTAGTTGTTATTAGAGTTTAAAAATTAACTGAAAATCGTTTATTAAACTGTCAAACACCAAGCGGTCACCGGTGACCGCAACCTATTGTTCTTTAATTGTGTCTATAAATACGGTACTCGACGAGTTAATTATACCTAGTAGAGTAATTGAGTAGGATTACCCACATGCTGTTTTCAGTTCTTCTAATTCAGTTACCAGGATCACTTGGACAGTGTGCTGTTTTGATAGATAGATTGAATTAATAAGTATGGATTTAAAGCATGTGTTTATAACAAGCATTTGCACTGAATAATTTGTACCAAAACAATCACAATAGGTACAGCAACACCTCACTGTACAACTTTATACTTTATGTACAAAGCGTTTAAGTACGTGTGTACGTATTAAAAATAGATTGATGACGCCATATTGTTTATATTAACTTATTACAAACAAAAACATGGTTATTCCAACACATAAGTGTTGTGAATGAACATAATTTTATCCTTTTAGGGATTTCTCGGTAAACATTTTAATTTAAATATTATTTACCTTCAAGTCTATTATTTATGTCCTTAAACAGATCTATTTACTATGTTCGTCATATGTATTCAAAGAACAAGTAACTACAATAACAATATAATAAGGTAATTAACTCAAAACTAGAGTCAAAATTACACTAACAGGATAACCTTTCAAATATAATGATACCAAATTGCCCACTAAAATTAATGTTAAGTTCCTCTATCCTCTATTAAACTGTCATTTAAGTTTCCAGAATGATACCATAATTAGTGAAGGCGAAGTATATTGGAAAATGAATTTAATTCGGTTATTAATATTATGTATTCAAATTCGCACTGCATGCAACCCACCTTTAGAGTACAGCACGATTTGTCATTGTTAAATGAATAGTGAGGCTACTCTTTGCGTAATCACGCAAAGGCCTCATGATTATGTAACAGAGAGTAAAGAAACACAGAGAAAATAGGAAGTATCTACTTGACACTTGAATAGATGCGAGATATGCTAGAATTTAATCCTAATAGGAATGTTGGCTTTACCTTAAGGAAAACTTAACTAGGTAATGACGTCATTAGGATACTGGTCGGTATTTACCGGCCAAGTTACCTAGTGACGCAATCAGTGCGTTAATTGACGTGTCTAGTTGTCTCCCTGTCATTTGATATAGGTATTAACTTAGCACTGGAAAGTCAGCTATTTCACCTAAGGGAAAGGGAGTTTAACTTTCCCTAGGGCCTACTCAGTAACGTAAATATGTATTATATGAGAATATGATTACTTGAAAGTCAGAAGTACAGATTCCAACAAGTTTGTACCGTGAGAGCCCCTGAGTTAGCATAGGTCAACGAACTTACTTATGGAGACTCTTCTATTCTATATCATAACATGATATTCATGGTTCATTATTTTCTTTTCAGATCTATCCCCAGTGCGCTACCCAAATCGGAAAAGTAGCAGCAGCTCGGTGGAAACCAACTTCTACAACCTAAGCGATCAAATAATAATCGTTGAAAAATCTCCACATCGATGTCATCGCGGCGAGACTCCAGTTAGTCGGCGCATTTCGCTACAAAACGGCCCCACTTCACCACAGGAAAGTTATAATACATCGCGCAAAAACCGCGGAGGCTCGCTAGAGAAAGAGTATATGGTTTGTCGAGAAAAGCGAAACCCGTTGCTCGATAAAGTCAAGAACACTAAACTATCTTGCTTCAAATCGAACGGTCCATTGCGGCACGGAGATGATGCCGCCTCTACGTCTGGAAGTGATTGTAGTGGATTTGGACACGTAGAAGATGTCACTAATTGTCGATATCCAAACAATTACGCTGACAGCCACATTGAATTCGAAAATCATAATCCTTGGGTCAAAATGCCCAACTACGACGATGATGTCTTTTTCGTCAAAAATATGACTAGTCCGGTTGAGTGTCAATGGAGGGAAGGCAAATCATTTACCAACAGAGGCACTCGATGTTACAGCTCCGGTTCAGAATGTGATCGATATCATGCAATACCTAAGGCCGGAGCTAAACTTTCTAAATCAAGCGATCAAATATTTAACGATGACTATGAAGCATACGGTGATGCACCCATAGCACTCAACCCACAAAAAAAGACTGATAAATTTAAGACTAAGGACGGAAAAGATTCTGTAGGGCCCAGTTCATGCCTCTCGGCGAAATTAAGAGCTATGTCAGATAGATACCTCAAGTCATCTACAAACCGATTTTTATCAAAGCTTTATAGACAAGCTGGTGAAAATGACGAAGAGGTAAACGGCAGCAATGATAATATTTTGAATTTAAAAACAACTAGTTCAGCTACTAAGAGTCGCAAGAAACGAGGGGGTGTAAAAGCAAAATTACGCAGTTTTTCATATGGCGCTCTACCTGGTTTAGAAGAGTTCCAAAAAGGCCATTCGGTATTTCATGATGATGTATATCAAATATCATGTGATGATGAAAACGTCCTAATACAGGATTGTGAAGACGCTGACTCAGGCATCCTTGTTAATGAATCTGCTGCCTCTTCTATTTTCGATAGTGACAGAATATCGTCACGTTGTGAAAGTTCGGCCTCACAAGCTAATACACTCCATCCTTGCCATGGAAGAAGTGTTTCTGGAGACCAAAGCTACATGAAAGCCAGAACATCAGGTAGAATGAGCAGAGAAAGGAAAGAATGTCCCAGACCTAGACCTAGACATACCCAAAGAGCTTTATCACTTGATCGTAAGGAAATTCTTAGGCGTATGCCAAAAAAAGAAAATGATTACGAGGAACCACAATACCTTCAGCTAACCGAAAAGCAGCGAATGCGACAGAGAGACGCCAGTCAAGATTGCGGTATTCCGCCAATTCCTCCTTGTCGAAAACCGAGCAGAGGCAGCAAGTCAGACAAAACACAAAATGAATTTAAAGTAGTCAGAATAATTAGGAATAATCCCTCAGATGAACTCGGAATATTTATTGCCAAAACCAAATTAACTGACGAAGGTCATGTGGGTTATCTAGTCGCGCATGTAGTTCCAGGTGGATTAGCGGAAAAGTACGTTTTTATTTTGGTTTAAGAGTTTTTAATTTAAGGTATATTTAGCCATTTAATTAATATAATTATTCGTATTGCTTTACAGGGAAGGTACACTACGCATAGGCGACGAACTGCTAAATGTTAATGGTCGAAGACTTCGCGACCTCACCATGTCTGAAGCCAAAGAAGCTCTCAAGTCAGGTACCGCAGATATCGATATAGTGATTTGTAGGCAACGAGAAAAATCAGTAGACGCCAGACAGAGGGAACCACCCAATAGAAGCGTTATATTAATGAGGGAAAGTTCCGTAGACTATGAAAACGCAATTATATTAGGGAAGGAAAAACGGGCTGACAAATGTGACGTCAAAATAGTTCGACGTCGGTCGCAGGATGAGTCGGCGTGTAATCATACTGCGCTATCAGCGGCGGACGAGTCGACCGACAGCGCTGCGGCGGCACACTCACACTTCCTCAAGGGTCAGAACGCGAGCTACAGCAGCATGAACAACAAGCTGCTGCGCCGGCAGGTCGTGAGCTACGGTGGCGCCAATAAAGATGCGCTCGCGCTCAGTTGTGCCGCCGACGTCGTTAACGTCGATACGCCGGACGGTATTGAACGGACAAAAAGTAAAGACGACAGTGAGAGTGAAACACAAACGCCAAATGCAGCTAACTTTTGTACGTTACCACGGAGACCAAGGGCGCCGACGCACACCTATCATACGATCACGTTCGAGAAGGGCCATGGAAAGAAACCACTCGGTTTCACTATTGTTGGAGGGCGCGACTCACCCAGGGGTCCCTTGGGCATATTCATCAAAAGCATCTTACCTTCAGGACAGGCCATTGATGATGGAAGGCTGAAAGCAGGTACGTGAAGTGCATTTAACCATAACTTTGCAGAAAATACCGCTTTAATATAACTGATAAATAGTAACGAACTGCGATAATTTAATAGCATTCAGGAATGCAATGTGATAAGAATAGGAAGCCGCGTGGTAGTTCGTCGAAGTGGCATAATAACAAAACATAATATATAATATCAACTAGTCTGGCTATTGTAACCCGAACAGTAGAGTAACAAGATACCAATGTTTATGTCAATACCGATTTGTGATATTCCTACAATATTGACATGACGGGTCAAATGTTATCAGCCACTGTGGAATAAAATATTAAACTTTGACCCTTAAACTTGCATTATACATAATAAACACATTCAAAAATCTAATTATTTATGAGCGTAGAAAATAAATTGGTTTCAATGTCATTTTAATTTCAGTAGAACATTACAGGCAATACATGCAATTCTATAAATGAATGCTATAAATAAAGCATTTTAAATGACAACAAAGTCTGTAGGTATTAAATGAAGTATTGGTGCTTTGTTTCTTGACTCACAGAACATTATTCATACTTTATGGGGATTGGGTACCTACTTAAGTATTGTACTTAATATCAGCTTGCCATACAACAACAGTTTAGAATTTTGAGTAAGTGCCTACCTACACACCTTATGGCCGGTTTCACATTCTCTAGATAACCACTATCAACCAGATAAATTACTTAAATAAAAGTTTAAAGAAAATTAGTATCTAAGTACTAGGACAGTCAATAAATTTATCAGAGCTTATCGGTCACCTGCAAGCTAGTGGTAGCTAGATAAATACCTAGATATATGGATTATGTAGAACTAGCAGTTAGTCTACTAATAGAAAAATATATCGCAAACTTTTGCTCTATAGTTAATTGAGGAACACCCCGAAGAAAATCTATAATACCCCATTTTTAATAACGCATTTAATTAAAGAGGCATGAGTTTAAAACGTGACAATAATCATGTAGAATATTGCTTTGCGGTAAAATCAGGTATTGGCAGTTACACGAATCAGACAGCACTCTAAATCCCTGTGACAAGCTACCTGCTTCTACTTTTCCCCTTTTATGAAATGTTGACCTGCATTAGGTTTTTCCTTTCTGTGATCAATATGTAGGTACATTTATTAACATATTTCAAACATAAAACCAAACGCCTTTAATTAAAAGGCAAATTTTATGTTACATTTGTTTGAGGAAAAGACCCCAAAAGAACATACAGCGTGCCGTGCGCATATTAAATATAACACCAACGACTCGCCAGATAAGTCCCTAAACCAATGGAAAAGATCATAAAAATAAGAATATTATGTACAAACTTATTCGTTTATTACAGGAGACGAGGTATTAGCGGTGAATGGACAAGCATGTCATGAGCTGGCGCATGTAGAAGCGCTTGCGCTCTTCAAGTCAGTGCGCAGTGGACCTATTGAACTTAGGGTTTGCAGACGAGTTAAAAATTCACAGTAAGTTGCATAGATTAACGTATCTTTGTGATAAATGAACTAAGTCAAATCAATGGTCGTGTAAGGAGAAATTCCAAATTTTGAACTTTGATTCGACCGTGGTAGTAAGTGTAATCCAGAGACTATGGAACCCCAATTAGGTACTACGATTCCTGCATACCTCTTTCGCTTCATCAACAGTCATCAATCTTTTCAAGCATATTCGTCGAATAAGGGTACTTTTAATTTGGCCCTTCTTAGATGTATCGCTAATCTGGTCTGTACCTATATGTCAGTCTAGGGCGCCCTCTACCGATGGACATTTACATACAGGATATCTGTATAACAATGTATTTTCTTTTCCAGATCTACCAAAGCCAAATCGTGCACAGACCTACTCAATGATGACGAGTGAAGCTAATTCAGAGGATCTTACTGTACATAGCATGAATGCATGAAACTTTTGCATGCCGTATTTTATTTCGTTTATTTAATTTCTGCATGAGAGCACTGTTATTTGAAAATTATTACTTGTTACAAAATATAATGTTAAGTTGCTATTAAATAGCTATAAAGCAATCATATTTAAAAGAGGTTTATGAAACGTTTTATTGCACAGCCTATTTGAGTCAAAAGCCGCGTATCTAATCATGTTCTGTATCATTCTTTATTGATGCAAAGTGCTCTATCATGAAATCAATGTGTCATGGGCCTCATCCAACCGTATCTTATACTTCTTCAATCGTAAACTATCTATCTTTGAATGTGCCATTTATTAATAGTTGCACATTAAACGCTTTCACTTAGGTTAACAAAAAACTCTTGCTAAATCTGTTCGAAATGAATTCTGTACCTGACTTTAATTTCTCTATATTTTCCTTTTAATTTAACAACGCTCAAATAGTGGATACCTAAACTGAGAAATCCAAAGATAAAATTAGGTATTTCTGAATCAATAGATTTTCCTACCTACGTTTAAATGTATTTCGATAAGAGAATCATGTAGATACACTAGACTTAGAACTAGAAATCTAGGCGTAGACGGTTACGAAAAATATTACATTAGATATCTTAAAAACTTAGTAACAATTTCTTGATCAATAGATTTAGAAAAAATAAATTGTATGTACTATCGATATCGATGAATTTGTAATAACGTGCAATAAAATTTAATCGACTATTTTAAAAGTAGAAACGTGCACTCTTGAAGATCTGTCTACTGTGATAGTTTATTTTTTATTAAAATTATTTTTGAGACCCCTTTGAACTGGGAAATTGTAAAGGGATTTGACATAGATAAGAACAAATGAGCAAAAATAAATAAATAAAAGTACTTGCAGAAGTAGGTATTTACTAAGCTATGTCAAGCACCTTTTACAATGTATCTTAAAAACTTGTTAGACTGAGCCATCGTTTGTTAATATCCAATTATGATGCGTTTTACGTTACAGCATGTTCTGTGAATTAATCTTATTTAATATATATTTGTATCTATTTTTTGTACAACCTCAAGACTTTGATATGGCACAAAATGTTTCCAGTGATTACATTACATATTTCTTTTTTATTTTTGTTACACTTGTAGGTATAAAACAAGCATGTATTGTATTTGTTTATTAGAATTATTTGCGATATTCAAATGTAAAACAAGATTATTAAATAACCTGTAGCTAAGCATACTATGACAATTATTATGTACAGAAAAAATACTCGTTATGTGTACTTTGATTCGATAAATGTATGCAGTACCTTGTAACATCAGATCATTAATATTTCTTACTTTTCTTTCAGTTGATTGTATAAGAGTTTTTGTTTTTTCACTCACTAGTTGGCGCCACTGGCGTTTTTAGTCTTACTTACCTAATTTGTTTACCTTGTTATAGTAGTCTTGAGATTTGAAATACTCAATATGAGCGGTTCTAACTAAACAGAAACTCTTATTTATCGAATTTGAGTACATATACAGTTAGTATTTATTTCTAGTAGACGTAACAATATTTTCAACAATTGTATAGGTATTTTTTTTCAACCAAATTGCAAACACTGTTATTTTTTCGTCTTGTTTTACAAATTATACTTGCGTCAAAAATTATGTATTCACGATATTCGCTCGCGTTTTAACGAGTGATAAATTCTGTTTCTTAGTTATTCAATTATTATAATTATGTAGATGTCATTTTCTAATCGTTTGAAAAGGCTTATTATTTTATTATAGATAGGTACATATCATAAATTTATAATTGTAATATTTGATTGTTTAAATATAATAATCATAAATATATTCTTGTAAGTTTCATTTAATACCTTTTCTGTGTATTCAATATCTTTAGATACTAAATAGGGTTGACTAAAAGTATATATATCAGAAATAATCATAAATATATGATACAAAATATGAATACAATTGTCATAATCATCAATTACAGTCTATGACAGTCCACCGCTGTGGCCTGGTACTGGATTTACATAAACTCACGCTTACTTGGCAGGTAGGTTGGACTACACTTAAAAAACATCATTTTTTTATTGTATTGCATAAGCCAGTAAACGAGCAGACTGATTACCTGATGGTAAGCAATCGGCGTCGCCCTTGGAACACTAGACGCGTTAAAAGTGTGTTACCAGCCTTTCGGTGATTAGGAATTTGATGATTGTTTGAGATTTAGGGATTAGGGAGATTGAGGAGAGAGGGGGAAGTAATTTACCTCCAGTAACTTCACTGACACAACGCAAGCGTTGTTTCACATCAGTTTTCTGTGAGGCCGTGGTATCACTCCGGTCGAACCGGCCCATTCGTGCCGAAGCATGGCTCTCTCACACTAGAAGAGCTGTATTATCCCTAAGGCAGACTGAGCAAGTACGTACAACGGCACACGTGCGTAGCCCAACTGCAGAATGAGGAGCGGAGGCGCAAAAAAAGTTAGCGGCGCCTATGAGGTGCTTGCCTACAGCGCTTTCTATTTATCTGCCTCTGGTTCAGATCTATTAAAGAGTACTGCTATTTGGTATTTGTCAAATGTGTAGTCCCTCAGTCGGCTCTTAGAACGAATGAGGAGCTATCACCAGTACATGATACAGAAATAAAATAAAATAAAAACTTTGCTCAGACATAGTGAATTAATTACTGTTTGCTTACTTGCTAATAGTTCCTCACCAAAAAATTACGCGTGTAAGCCGAAAACATAATTAAGAAATAAAAATATATATAAATCATTAAAAACGTTGTATATTAGCATTCATAGCATAAAAATATACATTTCAATAATAAAAGTAACACCTAAGACAAATACTTATTGAAGAGAAAACTATTTATAAAGCAAATTATTGCTCCACAATAGAATTAAAACAAAGTTTAATAACAAATAGATTCAATTTTGATGAAACTGTAGTGGCCCCAGGTTTGGGAATACAAATAGGCACAAATGTATTTAGACTCTACATACATAAATAGATGTTTAATTATACAATTTTACATACATAATAAATCAACATTTGATTTTTAAGCAACCCAGTTACTTCACTCCATTGCCAATGTGTGAGTAATCAATCAAATTTTTATTGGTTGAAATGGTTGTATTCACTTACTAGATCAAGGGTGGCCAACTTGATTAGACTATCTACTTTTTACTAAAGAAACCCTGTTCGATCTACCACTTACGATACTTCTTGAAATCTTAAATGAAACATCAGTGTTTAGTACATTGAAAAATGACACAAGATAATGCTGTAGTACTTTGTAATTACGTTGCCCAGTCTGGTCTGTTTATTTACATTGCTTAGCCTTGCCATGATCAACTGGACTAATAGTTGATAATTGCGATCAACCATTTAGCTACCCCTGCCATAGATTGTCTTAAATTGGCAGTCAGTCTCATTTGTGTTACAGACTACTTCTCTCTTTGACTTACAAGGAGGAAGCATTAAAATCTTTGTCAATAATATATCTGTGCTACTTTTGAATCATAATAAATTTGAGCAACTTTGGAATCATCAAGTTCATAGTCACCTAAGTCATGTTGTCCAAAATACTTTGCTATGATACATATAAAAATATTTAAAGGTGTTGCTAGTTCTCTTGCATTTTCCGCATTTAAGTCAATACTGGCCCTATAATAAAAAAATAAAAATAAGTATTAGGCTTTATAGTCAATTTAAAGGTAAGTACTAAGTTTTTAGATATAAAAACAGCTAATTGGAAGAGACTTAGCAAAAGATAGATGAAAATATAAACCTGATAAATCTTAATAGCTTTATTTTACCTTATTTCAGCACATCTTCTGCAAATATTTCTAAGTATAAAGCTGTCATCTGACTGTGGTGGATGCCTTGTGACAGTGAGCAGTGCATGGAGCCATAATCCTGAAAGTGGTAATGATAAAAATTTATGATGGAGATTAAGAATGACTAATCCCGAGGCAGGGTTTTTAATCAATCAATCGCTTTATAATTTTCTATGAATATAATAACTGAACTAATATGAAAACAAAGATCATTTAAACCAACCTAAAAACCCTTAAAACTTATTGTTACCTGTTCTACGATCAATAGACTGTCCTGGTGGTACTTCTTGAAGAGTTGACAATATAGCATCCAAACCACTTTCAACTGCACTATGTGTTAACCCAACAACATGTGATAGTGTAGGCTCTGTACTTTCAAAAACCTTGTCCCACAATATATCACCATCATTTAAAAAGTCTTTATATGTCTCTTCAAATATCGAAGGCAGTAAACATCTTTTTCTAGCAGCCATACGTATGACATACATGTGAAGATCTGAAAAGTCCGCAATTTGAATGTTTTGCCATTCTATTGTTGGTTTTAATAGTTCTGGCCGCACAGGATTTTCATGCTAGAAACAAAACACATGAGTGAATAAAAGAATCTTAACAAATAGTACTCACAATCTAACACCCTAACCACTCACCTCGTTTACAGTATTGCAACGTTTCTTATTTATTTCTGATATGTCTAAATCGCACTTTGTTACTGTAGCATACTTCGCACGTTCCTTAATCACTTTTAATAGGTATTCTTCGCCGTTCGTTGGAATTTCTTTCTCTTCAACATGGGGATTGATTTGAAAACACTGTGTTCCTAAATATTCGTATTCGTCATCGTCCTTGTCCTGCTTAAATACAATCTTTTTGGCAGTCATTGTATTATCGGCGCTATTTGTATACTGAAATTTTATTAAATAAGTTATATCTTTTAATTTACGTAAATATTTAAAAAAATTACCAAACTGTACCTCTGGACTGGAAGTGACTGAACTTGACGTTTTGCCATATGACAGTGTCAAGTTCTGACAGGTACTACCAACAGGTAGCACACCCGATTTTTATTTTATTTTTATTTCTGTTTCTTCTATTGATTTTTCTAATTTATTAAATTTAGAGAATATTTCTCAGATGTCATAATAATAATAATAATAAGCCCGCAGGGCACCTTGAGGCGAGGTGACGGGCATTAGCGATCCCGCAGGCTACCATCATCCCGAGTGCTCCAGGGAGAAGTCACCGTTCCTTCTTCTCCGGCTTGCCTTAATTGGCTGGCTGGAGTGAAAGATGACAAGGAACAGGTCTCCCACCTCTGGCTTGCCTTCATTGGCCGTCCAGAGTGGAGTCGCGAGAGCAGTGAACCTGCTCGGAGGGTAAGAAACTATTCGTAAGTCGCGAGTGGGCCAGGGATGCAGGAGGCTTCGGCTGGAGCAGATGATCTGAGTAGAAAGCGGTGGTAGTTTCTTAACCCTTCAGCCACTCACATTCTCGTTGCCCCTCTGTTGCTATATCTAGCAACCATTCCCGGGCCCGTCGGTGAGTTGGCGAGTCTCCGCCTGCCATTTTTACGTGTAAAAATTACATTGTTTCGGCAGGTGTCATAGTCATCCATAGTTCCCAATTTACCAGTCCACAACAACCCATCCATAGCCCTACCTTTTTTTTCCATTATTCACAATAGTCCTACACTAACCGGGGACTGTCCTTGGGTGCATTTCCATAGTGCATACAGGGATAGTCGCCGGTTTGTGTGTCCATTACATTTATATTATAGTTGTCTAAAGGGCCTCTGCGCAGTTGGCTTCGGCCCCTCGTACGCCTCCCAAATGACCGGGACCCTGTGGTCCCGTGAATGGTAAAGACATACATAATAATAATAATAATAAATAATAACCATCTATCAACGTCTCGGCCCAACGACTGTCGGATCAGGTGCGGGTCATCCAACGCAATCGCAGGTTGGATGAGGCTGCGCTTGATCGGCTACGCCTAGAAGCATTGCGCAATCGTGTCGTCCCCGCACCACCACAATCGGTGGCACAAACACCTGTAGTCTCACAATGTGTGACGCCAACCACCCCTATCGTTGGTGTGGAGGATGACAGGGTTGAACAAGTGAGTACTCAGTGCAATGAACGACTGAGGAGTGCTTTGGAGGATGCGGTTCGTGAGTATAGACTTGCTCCTAGTAATTTAAGACCTAAATTACCACGTTTGCCCATGTGTAAAAAAAATAGGGCGCTGGTGAGCGCCTTGGATTCGCTACTTAAAAAATATTTTGAGAGTAGCGAAAACCTCTATGATACACACACAATCTTGTACTGTGGGGCGGTAGCTGCTTGTCGAGTGGCTAACGTCAGATTCCCAAATCTTGACGCAGCAGTCCGACCAAAACCAGCAGTACCTGCCTGGCAGTACAGGATAGAGCGTCGTATCAGTGAGGCCAGGGTACTCATTGGCAAACTATCCTGCTTCAGGGAGGGCAATACTCGCCCTAGAGTGATGCGCTTTGTAAGACGTGCATTTGTGGGGACTGAAACCAGTCCTCATGAATACCTGTCACGTGTTACAGAGCGCATCGACTTCCTGAAGCAGAAAGTTTATGCATGGGCAAACCGTATTAGACGTTACAAAAAAAGAGTGGAGCGCTATACTCAGAATCGCATGTTCCAAAGAGATCAGAGGTGGGTATACAGAGATTGGGAACGATCCAACCAAGATGTGGTGACGGGCGGCGACCGGATGATGATGCCACTAACACATTTTGGCGCAACATCTGGTCGGTACCTGTTAGCCACACAGAAGGTGACTGGATGTTTGATGTTAAGCGAAGGTGTGAGACTATACCAGAGATGGAGGAGGTAGAAATCACCTCCTCTGATGTAGCCAGTGCAGCCTGTTCGGTTCCGAATTGGAAATCACCGGGGCCGGACGGACTGCACAATTTCTGGATTAAATGGTTCAAGAGTTCACACGTTCGCTTAGCATTACACTTCCAGGCAGCTTTGGAAACTGGGTCGTTACCACAATTTCTAACAACAGGAGTTACCCACCTGCTCCATAAATCAGGTAGTTCCACTGAGCCCAAAAATTATAGACCAATCACATGTTTACCAACGGTCTATAAACTTCTTACATCCATTTTGAGGACAAAAATAACAAAACATATTGAACAAAATTCCATCATGTCTGTATCTCAAAATGGATGTAGGGAGGGGTCTCGTGGAACTAAGGAGCTACTCCTCATTGATATGGTTGTTAGCCAACAGGTTCGTCGGTCCCGAAAAGATTTGTCTACATGCTGGATAGACTATAAAAAAGCATATGATTCTGTGCCACATACATGGCTCCTGAAGGTGCTGGAGTTGTATAAAATACATGCAAGTTTACGCGCCTTCTTGGAGTCATGTATGAGGCAGTGGAGCACCGTGCTTTGCTATCCGGGATGTAGACAAATCCAAGGGAATGAAGAACCTGTAAGGATAGTACGAGGAATATTCCAGGGTGACAGCCTGAGCCCACTATGGTTCTGCTTGGCCTTGAATCCTCTAAGTACTCTACTGGAGGATTCAGGGCTAGGCTATCCTTTGCGGAGAAGGGGTCTAGTTATATCCCACTTACTTTACATGGATGACCTCAAGTTGTTTGCTCCAAACAAGAAACAACTGATGGAACTACTGAATATAACTGAAAAATTTAGTAGTTCCATCAGAATGGAGTTTGGAGTAGACAAGTGTGCGGTCATGCATGTAAAGCGAGGAGGGATTGTGGAATCTGAGGGACTAGAACTCTCAGATTTCACAAAACTGAGATCACTCTCCGCAAACGATACATACAAGTACCTGGGTATGTCAGAAGGATTAGGCATTAATGGACCGGACATGAAGCAATCGTTACAGGAGCGCTTCTTTGGCCGCCTGAATAAGGTACTGAAAAGTTCCTTATCAGGCGGAAACAAGGTGCGAGCCTTTAACGGTTGGGTCATGCCAGTCCTAATGTATTCTTTTGGTATACTCAAGTGGACACAGACTGAACTTGACACCCTGGATAGACGAGTCCGGACCCTGCTGACTGCAAATCGCATGCATCACCCTCGTTCGTCGGTCATGAGGTTGTACATCCCGCGGAAGTGTGGTGGTCGAGGCTTATTAAATGCTAAGACCCTTCACAACCGTGAGGTGTGCAGCCTCAGGGAATATTTCCTGAAAGTCAACGAGGGTATGCATCGAGAAGTAGCAGCGGTGGACAATGGATTCACTCCGCTATCCTTGGCAAAAGAGAACTGGCGCAAACCTGTGGTACTGAGCGTCAATGATCGCAAGGAGGTATGGCATAGCAAGGAGCTCCACGGACGCTTCTTCCGGGCCCTTCATGGGCCCAGTGTAGATTTTCTAGCGTCCGTGTCTTGGCTACGATTCAGTAATCTCTTTGGAGAAACTGAAGGATTTGTCTGTGCAATTATGGACGAAGTTATCCTTACGAATAACTACCGGAAATATATAATTAAGGATGGGACGGTTGACATATGTCGGGCATGTCATAGTCCTGGTGAATCCATTAGACATATTATTTCTGGTTGTGGTCGTTTGGCTAACAGTGAATATTTGCATAGGCATAATCAAGTAGCCAAGATTATCCATCAGCAACTTGCTTTGCACTATCGACTTGTTGAGTCTGAGGTACCGTACTACAAGTATGTGCCCGACCCAGTTCTGGAAAATGACCATATCACGTTGTACTGGGACCGGTCTATCATCACTGACAGGACTATTATAGCCAACAAACCTGATATAGTGGTGATAGACCGACAACTGCGCCGCACGATGATAATCGATATCACTATTCCTCATGATGAGAACCTCGTGAAAGCTGAAAAAGATAAACAAATCAAATATCTTGATTTGGCTCACGAGGTTGTCGACATGTGGAATGTAGATTCGGCTATCATTGTGCCGATAGTCGTATCGGCCAATGGGTTAATACCTAATAGCCTCGACAACCACCTTAGGAGGCTAGCGTTAGGTAGTTGGGTCAAGGGCCTGATACAGAAGGCAGTGCTCCTTGAAACGGCACGTATCGTGAGGAGGTTTCTGTCTCTGGAGCCCTAACCACCGGTAGCTTGGACCATGCTCCCGCTACTGGTCGGCTCCTATTTTTTATATTTTTAAATATTATTTTTATGTTTTTGTAAATAGTATTTAAAAATGTATTTTATAGAGAATTTAAAATAAATATATGGAAATAATAATAATTTATTTATTTGCGAAAAACACGGTATACAAAGTTGTTAAAATAAATGTAAAGTCCAGCATGTTTTGCTTACAATTAAAGCATGCAAACTTGTAAGTGTCTAGTCAAACACTATAAAATCTTACAAATAGGAAAAACTAAGGTCTATGTTCCAAATATTGCCTAATACTATAGAAATTATATTGCGTCAACAAATTATACAATTCAATCTTAAAAAGTCTACAATTCGCAGTTTTCAAGATATTTGGTAGTTTATTGAATACACAAATACACATAGCTGGACAGCTCTTATTGTATTTTACTATCCTAGGAATCTCTTCCAGTACAAGTCTGTGCTGTTGCTGATCACGCCGACTGCGTGAGCTTACTTCTTCTACTGTTTTAAATAGATCTATATGTTTTCGTACAAACATAGACACTTCATACAGATACAATGATGGCAATGGTAGCAGACCAAGTTTTTTAAAGATGGGTTGACATGATTCATCCGATGGGATCCCCTGAATAGCTCGTATACACTTTTTTTGGGCAACAAACGCTCTACCTTGGTCGGTACTATTTCCCCAAAAATCAGACCATACCGTAAAGAGGACTCAACATATGCCTGATAAGACATCACAGCCGTTTTATGCTAGTGACCCTCTTAATTTGTCTAAGGGCGTACGCGAATTTATTAATTTTATTGCACACATGGTCGACCTGAGCTTTCCAATCTAGATGTTGGTCTACAATTATTCCTAAGAACTTAGTTTGTGTCACTTGGGTAAGTTTGGATACGTTCATTTTAAAATTAAATTTCGGATTATAAGATTGATTGAATTGTATATATACAGAATTTATTGAGATTAATAGTTAAAATTATTATTATTTAAATAGCTAATTAAATTGTCAATTGTTTTATTTATGTCCGCTTCATGATCAGTAATGGTTTTCAATTTTTTGTCACTAGTAATAATAATAGATATGTCATCAGCAAAAAGAATACATTTATGATTGGTTATGTCAAATATGTCATTTATGTAAGTAATAATAGAATAGGGCCCAATATACTACCTTGGGGTACGCCACATTTTACATTTTTATATTCAGACGAGTAAAATGTCATAACACCCTTTTCATTAAGCTTGGAGATAACTACACTCTGCTGTCTATCAGTTAAGTATGATGATAGCCACTGAAGTGACAACCTCTAATTCCGACGGACTCTAGCTTTTTCAATAATATATCATGTGAAACTAGGTCAAAAGCCTTTGTCAAATCAAAAAAATAAGCCTGTTGTAAGGTGATTTTTATTAATACTCGTCAGTACTGTTTTTAAAAGAGTAAAAATGGCTAAGGTAGTTGATTTTAGTTTTTGAAAACCAAATTGTTGCTTATTTAAAATATTGTATTTTTCACAGTAACTAATTAATCTTTGGTACATGCATTTTTCATATACTTTTGAAACTATTGGTATTAATGTTATGGGACGATAATTGTCCATATTACTTTTATCACCTTTTTTGAAAATCGGCTTTACAAGGGATATTTTTAAGGCATTAGGAAACACACCCTGTGAAAAGGATAGGTTGATAAGATATGTCAATACCCCGCTTATACTTATACTATATCATGTTATGTTTATGTTATTGAATTTTTATTCGTCAAAATGTGAGACGACAGGTTACCTTTTGCACACCTTTTGTTATCTGTCCATTTGTGTCTATGTCTAGGATGTTAATTCTGTTATTTATTTATAATCTGTTTACTGTTGTCACACACATTGACAGTAATGGTAGAAATAAATATTCATTGAGTCGGTGTTTTCATATTTCTCGCAAATTGCTGAAAATATTGCAAACTCTCGACTTACAGACTATATTCATTGAAGTTTATTTAAAATGCAGTGTCTATTGCTCTGACTAAAAGATTATAATGTCTACATCAAGCAATATTTCGCAGTCGACTTATTCCCCATCAGAACCAGAAACTCCCCAAGTAAGTAGTTATTGATTTATAGCCCTGTTTGTGACAGCCCTTTGTTTAGAGAGGGATGTCAACACCACCGCTATGGATAGGATCCATTTTAAAATTGTATGATTTCGTAGCCTTGATTTTATGGAGGGTCAATGAGCATAATTAATTTCTCTTCTTTCATCTTGCTTTGATGGTAAGTAGGTAATGAAATACATTTACTTTTAATATTTTTTTTTTTCGTTTATGCTTAATATTTTTTGTCACGTTGTATTTTATTTAATACTTAAATATTTACCATGTGTAGGTAAAGTATCAGAAGTCTGAGCCTATCATGCTTTACCTATTGTATTTTACAAGACATTTTATTGTTCTACTGGAGGGTTGATGTTACCATGTGTTAATTTACAGTATCCAGTACTTTCCTTTTGGTAACTTATGTTCTGTTTGTTAATTTTATTAATTAATTCATGGTTTAAGTTATGCTCATTTAACAATCATAATGAAATTAACTAAGATGTGAATTTTTTCTATCTTTTAGTTTTTTTTTTTTAAGAGGAATAGCAAACAGTTGCCTGTTAAAGACTTATGAACTAGTTCACACAAAATACATTATAGGTAATAATGCAACCCCTAGCACTGTCCACAGGTTGCCATTAAGATACCATAGAAACAAAAATTAATGAACTAATAAATCTTTAAACAAATTTAGTACAATTAGTGTAATTATCATGGTGGCTTGCTTCACAATGACATGCATGAGGTCCTTTATAAGATTATTTACACCACTGACAAACAATGTGTTAAATTTATGTGTATTTCACTAACTACTGTATGAAGGCGACTTCACTTGCATTTCTTATGAAATTTAACATTGTAATTTGTGATTACATTGGGTGATTGTGTTCGGGGACTTGTTTTAAGCGAGATGTGCCTGTGTTAGGAGATCCCGCTCCTCCACAGCAGTATTTACAAAATTAACTCTTTGAGTACCGTCATTATAGAAACAATTAAAGAACAGTAGGTTGCGGTCACCGGTGTCCTCGCGGTGTTTGACAGTTTAACAATAACAGTTTGTTTACAATCAAAAGATAATAAAAAAAATATTAATAAAACCTTTATTGACTATGGCATTACAATTTGAAATACAGGGCATATATATGTGTGTGTATATTCATGAGTGAGTGACTGCGGGTGTGTGTGTGTGTGTATATTCATGAGTGAGTGACTGCGGGTGTGTGTGTGTGTGTGTGTGTCATTGTGTTTCTTTATTACACAGAACACAGAAACTTTCTGTGTCTATTTAATCCATTGAAAAGTGCCTTAGAGTCTTCATATGTGAGAATTTTTCCTTCCTTTTTGATCACTCTATTCATGAAAAAACCTTCAGCATCATAATCCATTGTGTTATTGTTAAACTAATAGAGATAGACAGCAAAAAGTGACTTTGTTTTATACCATATAGTAAAAGGTAGTTCCTCATCAGGTGGAGGTCCACTTGTGGTTCTTCCGATAATAAAAGACCATATACATTACAAATCCTGACACAACTATAATCAATAATCTTTGTTTCAGAGTACTGCACAAAGTAGAATTCAAAATTTTGACCAATCACTGAATCATGCTGATCTTGGACTGAGTATTGAACAGTCTATGAAGAGTGCTCAAAAAGAAATTCATCAAAAACGAATTCAAGCCTTGAGAACTGAACTTGAGTATCTAAAAGCCACTGAATGGGAGTTTGAGTATGACAAAGGATTTGTTCAGTAATAGACTGATATAATTGGTGATTTTTAATATACAAGAATAAAAGAAAAAAACAATCAAGATGGTGTTCTCACTTATAAAGTCGGTTTATAATTATTTTTTTGCCAAATCATCTTTTGAGGAATATGATCGGGAGATGGAAATTTATTTAGCCGAAGAGCTGACAAAACTAGAATTCGATGAGGATGATGATATTGTGCAAAGAACAGAGCCTGATCATAATCCCAGTGACTGTTTTCAAAGGACTGGTAAGTTTTTAATTTGGATTAGTTAATAATATTTTGTAACATAACATAACAAAGTCACACCTTTTGTTCTAAAATTGTCGAGTTGTAAAATTTCAAGTATAGATATATGTATATATTTGATGGGCCGACGTTTCACCACTATGGCGCCTGGTGGTAAATGATGTGGTCTATGATGGAATTCGTATATTATGTGTTATATTTACTTTCTAAGTTTATTTAGGCACCAATGAAATGATGCCTAGATATAATTAGAAATGACAAAATCTGTCTGAAGCAAGTTTAATTTAGTATTACTAGCAAGTTTATATTATGTTTATTCCTTTTACATGCAAGAAGAGGTCTTTACCCAGCAGAAGAATTACAAACTGAGAAGTGTGATGAGGCACAATTCCTAATATCTTGCTATGCATGTGAAATAAAGTTTTAAAATTTTATTTTTTTATGGGATAATCTGTTAAGCGAGCACACGGGTGTTCTGATGGTAAGCATTCGGCGCCGCCCATGGACAGAGCAAACACCAGAGACATTACATAAATGCGTTGCTGGCAACTGGCTTTTGGGGGTGAGGAATTTGAGGATTGGGGAGATTAGAAAGGGGGTAATTGAGCCATTATTATGTTATGTGATGTGATAGGTATTATCTTGTCTTGTTTTCACTACCTAATCTATGTATTTTTTATATTTTCAGGAGTCATAAGTTACATCAGCGAGAATGCAAGCTATGTGCTTATTGATGGAATGTTCTATTTCAATATGGAGGGGTGCTCAATCCACCTAGCTCTAAACGACAAGGTTGTGTATTTGTGCTACAAGGATGCGCAAGAATCAATAGTTGTTGTCCGAATACTACAAAATCTGGGAGAACATTGGGGTGACTTTGAAGTTGATGTTGATGAGCGTGGTTTTCCAGTTAGGGAACACGTTATTGTAGGTGAAGTAGAATATAGGCAGGACCGCTTGGTGATTATAAAAGACAGTGATCTCACATTCAGTCTGGACAAGGTGGTTGCAACTTTTGTGCCCGTACAGGGAGACTTATTAGAGCTAATGTGCAAAGTAAAGTATGATGAAGACAACCCTTCAGATGTATCCACCAACCAGGTGAGTTGAACGTAATCTATAAGTAGGTACTGTAATATTACAATGATGATGAGTTTGTTTGTTAAGAATACTCTAATCTATGCAACTACTGGTTCAAATTGAATAATTATTTTTGTTTTGCCACTTGCCTTCCTTGCCTATGAGTTATCCATAATCTATTTTACCCGAAAGAGATGTCTATTGTTTAGGTATACAATTAGGGTTGCCACCTTTTTTTTTATATTTAAAGTACATTGACGGTTATAGGTAAGAAAAAAAGTACACCGTACAGAAATAAAGTACAATTTATTCTTATTTAGTATTTAAAAAAATATTTTTATAGCTTTTTGCAGTTTGTATTAAATTAGTATTTTTACTAAACAGTTGCATTGAAATACTTAACAATTGCGTCTTTACTAGAAATTGTCTAAGTGCGCTGGCGAGTGTCGAAATCGTAACAACAAAATCAATAAATATCTATAAGTTTACCGAAAAATACTTACGACTTTAATAGAAATGAAGTTTGCAAAAATAAAGTATTTTCGTGTACTTTATAATTCTTATAAAGTATAGAGTACAATTACCTTAAATAACGTACAATACTTTATTATAAAGTACGGGTGGCAACCCTATATACAATACAATATTTTAACTTTAGGTATATACCTAGACGAAAATTAACCAACTACAAAAATATTGAAGATATGTTTTATTTGATTTCTGCCTAATGTAGTGCTGCTTAACACTGAACACATTTTCTTATTGTTTTTAGGTTGTAGAAGTAATTTCATTCAGACCATTGAGAAGTAAAATGATATCTTCGGAAATAAAACAATGGAATGGGAAGGAGGGAATTTGTCACAACCAAATATATTTTAATACATCAACATGTATCATCAATGGTGGAGATCCACATGTCGGAGCTAGGGTATGATATATATTATATGATACATATATTTCTGTTATTCATAATAGTATGTTATAACTTTGAACTAAAGCATAAACTTATTTTTCACAGGCTTTTATTGAAGTCATAGAGAGTAACCAAGGTTCCTGCACATGGAGAGTTCTAAAAATGGAAATAACAGACAAAGCAAAAGTTGTACAAGAAACTAATGAAGTCGATGACATAGAAAAAAATAGTCTAGAGATTGAAGCAAATAATAACATAGAGGTGACTTACCCTTTAAAGTTTGACAATGTCCGTTTCCATGAGAGGCCTCAAATAATACTGTCCATTACGAACAAAAATAGCCAACCAATAACCATGTTCAAGTGGATGGTACTTTGCAGGAAAAAGGACTCACAAATAACCATGTATCCAGTATTACCAAAGTACACCAAACTGTATCCCAATGAACCATTCAATATAACAATTGATTGCCATCCAAAATTTTATGGCAAATCAAAAGAACATGTGATAATTACATTCAAAGGATTTAAAGTTGAAAGATTGATTGAAATAAATGTATTAAGTGAGTTATCTTCAAGTGAAGATGCTAACTTTAAGTTTAAAAGAGAATGTAATACCAATAACACTAGAACCGGATTTAGAAGAGGAGAAGTCAATTACATACCTGGAATACGACTAGCTAAGAATCCTAACTTTAGAACTGTAAGAATGGGACAATATAATATACCAGAGAAAGTTGAGTCTGCTATTATGGGCGACAATGAGAGATTAACCCGCAAAGATGTATTACAAAAAATTGAATACAGTTTTCCTTGTCTCATTCAAAATTTGAATGTCTCAAACTATGTGGATAAATGGCATACATTATTGTACATGGAAGAAATTAAAGCAACAATTAATGTAAAAAGTTTCAACTTATCATCCACGTTTCTACTTAGAAATCAAGAATATCTAAGCCTTGAAATTAAAAAGTTGGCTGAAAGGAGGCCCTCTCTTATTGTTGGTGACAAGGTTCTAGTTACTGATATATGGGATGAGAAATCTTATACGTACGAAGGCTTTATCCATGCTATTCGAGGAGATCAAGTACTATTTAAGTTTAATCCTAGATTTCATGAATCTTACAGAGGAAGTGATGTTTCTGTAGAATTTTGTCTTAGCAGAGCTTCATTCAGAAAATTACACCACGCCATCAGCAAGGCCCTCTCAACACTAGGAACAGATGTCTTGTTCCCCTCCCGCTTAATTTGGCGCCCACCTCAATTACCTTTGGAAAAAATTAATAAGTTGCAATGGTTCAATCCAAACTTGAACTATTATCAAAAAAAGGCAATATCAAACATCCTAATGGGGGAATGTCGTCCAATGCCCTATTGCATATATGGCCCACCAGGTACTGGAAAAACTGTCACTGTTGTAGAAGCTCTATTACAGATAATCACGCTTATACCTGACAGCAGAATTTTAGTTGCAACACCGTCAAATAGCGCTGCAAATTTGATCACAGAAAGACTGTTACAATACAGAAAATTGTTTTCAAGTTCTGTTATCAGACTAATTGCAAACTATATGGTAGATTCTGAAAACATTCCAGACGTAGTCAAACCATACTGTGCAGTTTTAAATATAGCTAGAGAAAACACGTCAATGTCAAATCATGCCATTGTTGATAACGGCATTAATATGAATGTACCGTCATCCTATGTGGGGCGATATCGAGTTACTATTGCGACATGCAATTGTCTCGGGACGCTTGCGTTAATGGAGTTACATAAAGGACATTATACACACGTTATCGTAGATGAGGCAGGGCAGGCTATAGAACCCGAAATTATGATCCCCATGACTTTCGTAAACAAAGATAGTGGACAAATTATTCTGTCTGGTGACCCAATGCAACTTGGGCCAATTGTGTTGTCTGGGTATTGTAAAGAATACGGTATGGATAAATCATATTTGTCTAGACTGCTTGAAACATTCCCTTATCAAAAGGACTTTGATGCCTTCGAAAACGGATTTAATGAAAAATTGGTCACTCGACTGTCTGAAAATTATAGATCTTTGCAAGAAGTCATAAAAATGCCCAGTGAAATGTTTTATGATGCATCTTTAGTGTCTAGAGTTGACCGAAATGCACCGTTCGTCACGAAAATCATCGACGTTGTGTCAGAAATATTTGAAATGCCCGAAGATTCTAAAGCAGGCGGGATCTACGTGCATGGCGTTAAAGGAAATAATGCACGAGCAGTGGATAGTCCTTCCTGGTATAATCCCGAAGAAGCTTCTATGGTCGCATTGACTGTTTGTAAATTGTATAAGAGTAATGTATCACCAGATGAAATTGGAATAATTGCACCCTACGTCGCTCAGGTAAACATTCATACTTGTATTGTAACTTTCGTCAGACATACCTACTAAATAAATTATTATGTTTTCGGCTTACTCACGTAGTAATTTGACGAGGGACTCGACTAGTTTCAAGCCATGCTAGAGGCTCATATTCATGAGCAGCATTTCACGACCCGCGACGCGGCGACTGTCGCGCTGCTGATCGAGTTTGAACTAGTCGAGTTCCTTTAGCACCTTGTTTTGCACCTTGTATATTAAGAAAGAGAGTCCAAAAAACCGATTTAACATATTTTTCTACATCAAAATCAAATCATATGTATTCGCATTTCTGAAAACCTAATTAATTATTGTTTTCTTTCAGATACGACATCTACGGCGTTTATTTGAGCATATGCATTTGGAACGTCCTAAAATCGGCACCGTTGAAGAATTCCAGGGTCAAGAAAAGTCACTTATAATAATATCTACAGTAAGGTCATCTAGTAACCTTATTGAAGACGATCTACAACACTCATTGGGATTTGTTCAGAATCCAAAAAGGTTAAATGTTGCGCTAACGCGAGCACAGGTAGCAGTGGTGTTGATTTGCGATCCAAATTTGTTGTCACATGATCAAAAATGGAACAAAATCATAACTCAAGCCATCAAGGAAAACAAATACATGGGATGTGGTTTTTCTGCTTGTATGGAGGTAGAAGAATGAAAATGAAGTTTTCATGAATATTTTTTATATTTACTATCTGTGAGAAGCAAGACTATCTTTTTTTAAACAATAGAGTACTTAGTCGCAACTGATGCGTATGTATGATTAGTAGATGTATCAATGTAGATTTCCTGTGTAGTTTGTACTCCCATTTTTATGGGTCCTGCTGTTTATTCTCAAATTATATAAAAAAATTGATTGATAAGTATGAACCGCTCTTTAGGCCCATGGTGTATATATTTTACAAATAGTTGCATGATGTGTAGCCTTGATTTGAGGACAAGTTAGTTGGGCTCATCTTGCGACAAGGTATATTAAACTATTTAGCTTGCCCATTTTGTTTGTTTGGGCCATATTCAGTAAATCTCATGAATCTGACTGACTCTCATTCTATCAATCTTGATGACCATACACTATAATACATATCATCCTCATCCTTTATGATTGATGATTGTATATCTAAGATTCTTATTGAATAGACATCAAATAGAAGAGCTTTGATACAATTAAACTGATTAAACCTGTCTAACATCTATCTATATAAATAAAAATGAATTTCCTTTTGTCAGTCTCGCTAAAACTCGAAAACGGCTGGACCGATTTGGCTAATTTTGTTCTTGAAAATAAATGTTTGTGGAAGTCCAGGGAAAGTTTCAAAAGTGAGAAAAAAAATTCGACAGAACGATGTTTACTCAGTCGGCTAGTAAAACATATTTTAATGTATACTTTTAATTATGATCTGACTTTTGGTGATAGATGTATAATAACGTTCACCATGATACTGTACATGATACTCTATATTGTCTTGTTTACATTTCTTCAGAAAGGTTTTATATTTTTCAAATGACTGTAGTTTTTTCAGGTAGGTTGGCCCTCTCTGGGCGGCAGAGTTTGTGTGTATTACAAAATGATACTGTAGTGTTTATAAAATATAATACTGTGTACTTTTATTCACGGAACGTAGTTATAGTAACGAGTGTGTATTGTACTTGAAATTCTCCTTTAAGTGTATATGAACCAACTTTCTAGAAATCATAATTTCTAGTGAAACATCACCAATATTTTATTGTCAACACTGTATTTTTCGAAAACATTCCTGTATATTTTTTGACTGGTACAAAAACCTACTTATCCACCAGTCATGTATATAGACAAGTCATAAAGTCAATGGCGAACCCCAATGTCAGTCAAAAAGTCCTAAGTTTGCTTCTCTAAATGAACTGTCTTTTTATACTCTTTAGTAAGTCAGAAATGTAAAAAACAATTAGATACACGCATACTTTTAAATCGAAACTATACCAAAGTAATTTGTTAATGTTTCTTTTAAAATAGGTAATGCAGACATAACACATTTGTGACTGTGTGAGTCTAGTAGTGTCTCTGTAATGTAAGTCGTATTTTTAGTTTTAAGGTTTTTAAAATACAAATTAATCCCTTAGAAATTGTTGTTTCTTTATTTACCCTTATATCCTAGTTCTTTGAAATCTAATCAGGACAATACGCAGATATAGAGCCCGAAGAGGGCTGGGCTGGGTTCAATTCCCTTGTTGACCAAAAATAAGCCATCCATAAATATTACGGAAGGTGTTCAGGAGAAACTACTGGTTTTTGGTCATGTTAGTGATTACGTATTACGATTGATGAACCTGCGTAAATGCACATCTACCTTAGCTTCTATAGAATGTCCCGTAAATAATGGTCCAGACAAGTAGAGTTGAAGCAAACGATTATAATATTATATACGGACCACACAAACAGGTCAGATCAAATTTTGGCAACTTAAGTATAATCTCCAGTGAAGGTAAAGGGTCAGGTCAAATGTCACGACAGAGAGGAATAAGCGAAATGTGGAAGAGCCATAGGTACATTCTTATATGAATGGGTCGGCTTGACTGGAGTGATACCACGGCGTCACAGAAAACCGACGTGAAACAACGCTTCCGTTGTGTTTCGTCGTGTGAGTGAGGTCACCGGAGACCCAATTACAATTATTTCTCTTGCCTTGAGTCAGAGTCCGATTACCCGTTAGGGTAAGCATGTAAGTTACAAATTGAAGTCTATTCAAACATGAACATGGTAATCATTACAGCCAATACTACAGCCGCATGAGATGAGTTGTATCTTTTGTTGTAATTACTACCCTTACCCTACTCGCCTACCGTTTGGTAGGTATTGTGTGTCCCTATCCCTCCTTCATATTGTAAACGTTCTTTATAGATGTTGCCTGTATTAGATGTTGTAAAAATAAATTTTAGAATTTGTATAAGTGTGAAGTTTTTCTACAAATATTACTATAGTGGTAAACAGAACAGTAAAAAATTTGTTTCTTTGTGCACTTTAAACCATTAGCAATGTAGATAATATTTATTGCCTTCTTCGGTTGAGTTTGACAGTTTGGCTTACTTCACAAACGCACAAGCAGACGTCACGCGTTACGGATTACGAAAAACATTTATTTCTATTTAATTTTTCCTTTATTATTCTTTATTTTGCTAATAATATAATGTTTACAATCAAGAAATAAGATACATATTGCCAGTTCGCCGAGTGACATTATTATTTCGTCAAGAATGGAGGCAAATGGTGCCGTTTTGTGTGACAATTTGATAAAGTGGTTGCAGACTTTAGATCTTAAAGCAAAACATGGAAATCCATCAGGTAAATGATGTCTTAATATTCTAAAATCAAGTCTGTTGTGTTATGATTAGGATTAACTTTATGAACCCGGTGGTATTCGTCCCACTTCCCTATTAGAGGGCACCCAGTAAGTGGATAATTTCGTCACTTATTCTTGTTTTTATTTGATTGAGACATCACTCTCGTTTGCGGTATTGCTTAATTTGCAGTCATTTTTGCCATTGTGTTCTTGGATAAAGAAGATAACTGTGTTTAATGGTCATATAGTCTAGTGCATACTTCTAGGAAATGTGTATCAGTAGACAGGAGTGATTACCCACAGAGCTATTGTTCATCAACCCACACACAGTGTAATCTATAGCTAAATAAGTCTTTAGTGTACAAAAGCGGTGTTTAATGAACATACAACTGATTAAATTTTATGTAACTACTTCACATATTGTTAAATTCATACAGTTATGTTTTGTAATCATGACTAATACTGCCTTGAACTTTTTCAAATATGTATCACACAATGTCACAAACTAAAGTGACTGGTTACTCTGTAAATAATCACAATTTAACATTCTAACATAGGCTAAACAATATATTTTTTTCCTAAAACAATCAGAACTATGAAAACTTAACCTCCTTTGTTACTTTAAAAAGTAAAAGTTGCATGGTGTCTGTGATTGTTGCAATCATTCTTTAACTGTTTTATTTTTATTTCAGAGCTGTCCGATGGTGTGGCAATTGCAGAGGCACTCACACAAATTGCGCCTGAATATTTTTCACCGGGATGGAATTTGAAAATAAAAACAGATGTCGGACATAATTGGAGGCTAAAAGTTAGCAATCTGAAAAAGATATTGGAGGGTGTTGTAGGTATGAATATGTTTAATCAACTCTAGATAAGTGACTTATCAGGCATTTGCATGAAATAAAATTTCATAATACTGTATAATGTTATTGTTAATCATAATTATCTTGATATTGATTTGAATAAAACAAATGGGCTTCTGAATTTTCTCAAAGAATTTTAGCAAGCATAATGAGACAATACTTAATCATTCATAATACTTGAACTAATTAATTTAATTTCACTTACTTAACAGTCTGTGGAAAATTAGATAAATTGCTTTTAAAACTAAACTTGTTACTACACAAAAGAGTTTCAGATAAAACTGGTTCCACACTGAATTAGCATAAAAGTTACATTTTATTCAGTCCATTTAACATTTTATTTATGAACAGAAGTGGTATTATCTGAGCTATCAATTCTGAGCCCTCCTGAAAGGCCCCTCTTTTTATTGTCATCTCTTAATAAGTCCCTCCTGCTAGGGTTATTCTGTAAATGAATACTATCATAGTTGGCATACATTTTTGTAAAATAAATAAATAAAGCAATGTTTAGTGTAGTTTTTAATAACATTTGAAATGGCTTGTCCCAAAAAAAAAACATTTGAAATGATTTTTATAATCTGTTATTTTGTATTCGCTTCTGCCAGTAGCTTTGCTCACTTTACCAAGATACAAAGTAGCCTATGTGTTATTCTAGACTATGAACTATCAAATTTTATATAAACCAATTCTTAGTTTTTGTTCTACAGAGTAACAAACATACATGATCCTCACATACTTTTCCAAATATAATACCAGTACGACTATTGTAACAAGTATAACAATGCTTGTTTCAGATTATCATCAAGATATTCTAAATTTAAGTTTACAAGAGTTCTCAAGGCCAGATGTAGTAAATATAGCGGAGACTGCCGATGCCTCGGACTTGGGGAGACTGTTACAACTTGTTTTAAGTAAGTCTATTTTTATACCAACTTAGAATATGGAATTATTGAATAGATTAATTAAAGATTATTAGCATTTGTTAAAGCCATTTGTTTGGTTAAGTAGTCAACAGCCTTAGCGTGCTGAACTACGAGTGGCCCTAAACTTAAAAAAAAAATTATTAAAGCTAATTAGTTAATTGTGTAAACATTTTTATATGAAAATTAAGCTTATATTTTATTTTAATAGCTTTTGCCCGCGATTTCGTACGCGCAATCTCCCGTTCCCGTAGGATTTTCAGGATTTTTCCGTCTTTAAAAACCTTCTTATAATAATAAATACAACAAAAGAAGAATTAGGAAAATCGGTCCAACCATTTTCACGTGTGATGCCGTGACGAAGGGAAAAAGGGATTCATTTTTATATATTTCGATTCGATATACCTAATAAAGGCCTATAATTTTTTATTGCCATCACTAAAATATTTTTCGGATTCAATCATTCTCTTCAGACTACAATATGAGGAGTAATAAGGTTCAACAGTTCTTTCTGTTCATTGAATCCCATGTCATTTAAAGTCTTATTCACAATGTACTGTCATGAACTCACTTTCCTTCATAACATTCCTTACATGTACATAAGGCATTAAAATAATATATCTTAAAACAGGTTGTGCAGTAAATTGTGTCAAAAAGGAAGAATACATCACAAGAATTATGGAAATGGAACTCTCATGTCAAAGATCTATAATGCAAGCGATACAGGTATGAAATGGCAACACTATTTCTCTCCATAAATAATGAAAATGCACTTTGATGCTTATATGTCTAAGGTGCAGATTTGTATGCACAACACATTATTGTAGTACATACCATTGGGATTATAGAAATTGTATTAGTAATTGAGAAAGTTATTAGAAAACTTAGCAGTAATAAAAGTTTGGTGCATGCTCTGCATTGTAGCATTGCAATTAATATGTTTACAATAGTTTAGAATATAGATAAGCACTAAACAGACTGATATAAATCAATCACTGTTTACTAACTGAATATGTCAAACTCTTCCATTACTGAGTGATTGATACATTAGATAACATATAGCTGGAACAACCTGTCATACATTCTATGGGCAGTACGAGAAAGAAATATCAAAGAATGAATAATCCCTTAGAATACAGGGAACCGAGAGTATCAGACAGCACACATGGTTAAGGGGAAAAGGAAAACAAAGCTACTTAGGTACATTTAAAATGATAGCCAGTATTTTTAATTCACCACTTTCAAGGTGATACCAATACATAAATTAGTGCTAATTTAGGTATTGAGTCTACTGAGTAATGTAGGTTTATGTATTTACACATAATATGTTTAAACACATGGACATACAACGATATAAGAAATATTACGAATCATAAAATTATTAAGTTCTTTTTGGTAACACTCAGTTGTTTTTATAAGTAAGTACATCCTTTTTTCTTTAACTTTTATGTCTGGCAATAAACATAAATGTAAGTAAAATAACATTTGTTACAGTTTGTTTTTGCTAAGTATTGCTAAAAATATTCGCTGGTACTGAGAACAATTTCAGTGAACCAAAACTTAATAAAATTCAGTGTATTGTTAATGTGTGTACGATAAAAGTGACCTTGTGCTCATATTTGCAATCTAATTATACATCCAAAGTTTTTTGCACGGATACAATCACCTTGACGTGAGTGGCTTAGTATATATTTCAGGAGACAAATAAAAGAAAAAGACGAAATGGTCATTAGATAAATCATTACTAAGCAAGAAGTGAAGATATAAATCGTAAACTTTCTAGACGTGACCACTTAGCTGTGACTAATTCAAATTCTATAAAAGATTGATTATAACATAATCATTGTTATTGTATCACAACAAAAAAGATGAAAGCACTGATTACTTCTCATTATTCGTAATAAAACAAATCTTTAACACTTTATCACATTATCCATCCAGAACCAATTAGTCTAATTTTTGCTTATGTCATGAGTAATGTACCCAGTCGACCGCCTTTCCATGCATTATAGTATTACATTATATTTGATCGCATTTATAATGTAATGTGCATCGGCGCAAGAGTTTAGTAAGGCTAGCTTCTTGCTTCACGTTCGAAGTTGCATGCTCATTGCTCGGAGCGGTAAAGAAATTCAATGTTAGTTACGCTCATTTTTAATGTCCTTGAATCACGATACAGTGGGTGGTGGATGCGACAATACGTTGTGTATCCGTCAGTAGTAGAACGTGGCGCCGCCGGCATCGGTGGTGTTTGCCTGAAAGTAAAAGTTAGTTGCAGTGAAACTAAATGAGTGGTTTGTTTAGAATGTTATTATTTTGTGTTAGGAACTGCAGACGTTAACGCTGGGCGTGAATCGTGGCAGTGTGCACTTGGACGCGCCGCCGGTCGAGCAATCTGATGCGGACATGAGAGAAGCCCTCGCGCAGAGGTGCCATGAACTAGACACGCAGGTTTGTTTATATTACATTATTAATTAAACATCCTCATTATCTTACTTTACGATCCATCTACCGTTTCATGCTCGACTGTTATGAAACCATACTTACCTTATTTATTTCACGCCTTACAGTTTGTTTATATTAAACAACCGTTCGTAACATTAATTTAATGTGAAACTTAACTAAATGGCTGTTTCCAATTTTAGTTCCTCTGTGTTTTGTAGCTTTCTACTGGTTAATTAATGGTTACATATTTAATTATCATTTAATCTTCTATGGCTGTAAACATGCTTCCACCCAAATTATGGTTCATTATGTGAAGACTCGAATTGAGACGTATCAAGGCATTTGTGTCATAAGAGTCCCGTATTTTCAATTTGATAGCTAAGCAAATGTAATGATACCTACACTAAATTGCATTTGTTTTCATGTTAAATAACTATTTTATTTTCAATTCATTAAGTGCCTTGATTGCTTTGTTTTAACCCACATTTACCAAGTGTATTTACACCTACTTAGATTTTTTCTGATAGGTAGATAGATGAGTTTCAAACGCATTATAGACTTAATAAGCCAGCATTAGGTTATAAGGTACTTACTCTAATGAAACGTCGAACAATGACCTCTCCTGGGCTGTATTTAAAAATAATCTCACGTACTATCATAACTAAACTGCTTATTGTTTAAAATTAATGACAATCGATGCGTACCCAAAATAAATTATATGTTTTCAAATATTGCATGTAGTTTATACCGAACTTTGATAACGTCATAGTATAAAGAACAAAGTAGGTTATCTTCATACAAATGCTCCGCGCGCGGCTTATATGTGTGCGCCATAGTATCTATGCGTCGCCGCACGCACACTTTAACAAAATCTCGACCCGTTTCTCAGTGCGCCAGGCAGGGCTGACACTGTACGAGGTTCGCGCGCGCTTCACGGCTTTTCGGCACTGTTCAATGAAATAAAAAATGTCTGATAACCGTAGAAGAACGTATTGCTGTGTGTTTGGGTGTCTTAATAATTAATCGATTCCAGAACTGTCTCTGTTCAGATTAGGTACCTATTGAACAGGAAAGGTAAGCTAGTCACTTTTTCTAGCATAATATAATTTGTAGGTATTTGATGATGAGATACCTACTTACTTATTCTTACTCTTATCATTCTTCATAGTTCCTACTCAACCAGAAATGTAATTACCTACTATACTTAAATATTATAAGAAAATGTGGTATTGTATTGTTTATTTCACAGTTTATCTGATTTGTTAAGAGCGTAGCCGAGTCGCATTTTTCCATATAAATGTATTCCCAAATTTACTTTCTGAATACTATGTATAGAGCTAAAGTTTATTTTAAGAAGTTAATAATCTTTTTATAAGCTTTTAATTTTTACTAAATTTATAAATTGATAAAATATTCAATCATAATATGCTTTTCATTTCATAAATTTAGATCAAGTGCTGCTTGTTCGAAAATATTAACTAAAAGTAAAAGTGACAACCCTGGGGATCAACGCAAGAGTAGGCTAATAACTCGGCGGGCGGCCTTAGATAACCTACTGTGTTCTTTATACTATGATAACGTTCAATAAGTTCTTACCTTCGATATTTAAATTCGATTCGATAATTTAACTAGAGAGTCGAAAGATGTCGCTCTGTGGATGTTTTCATTATTTTTTTCCAACATTTTCTTCTAATAGTCTTCACAAAATTTAATAATGGCAATTAGTACCCTCTTTTACATGGGACTCAAAACATAACTAGTTAAGTGCTGCCTCCGCTGAAACCTTTAGTGGTTATAAGGCGTCACAGAAATATACCCATAGGAGTCTTGTGGAAATAAGGTCTATAATGGAGTAAGTGGAGACAATGGTGGTGACTGGGCAGTTAACATACAAAAAAGTTCTAAAGTTAATCCACCTCTTTCCGTGTTTCTTACTTACAAACCATTTATAATTTATTACTATTATTACAGGTTAAAATTCTCCAAGAAGAGAAGATGACGTTGTTGAGTGAGGTGGCTAGGTTGACAGCGGCACGAGAAGCCGTTGTCGATTCTGGGGAAGCTGAGTTAGATGACGCAGGAGCTTCACTGGGTCCTGCTCATGCTGGGACATTGCGTTATACCACCATGAGGTCACAACTGGACGCGCTAAAAGATGAACTGGATAAGGTGGAACTCCAAAGAGATGATCAGCATGCAAGAGCTGATGCTTTGGAAAGGGAGTTGGCGTTGATGAAGCTTAGGAATGAGGAGTTGCAGGTTTGTTTTGTTTGATTTTTTATAAATGTTTATTGATTGATTTGCAGGCAGTTTGGTCGGATTTGTGTAGCATAGCAAGTTAAACCGGTAAAACACTTCATTATAGGATAGAAACCTTAAGTCTATGAAAGTAAGGTTCATTTTTTTAAATATGCTTCGTCAGTTCATTTCCTTTTGAAAATATATATTATGCAGTTTGCTTTGGGTGGTGCACTTTCATGATTTTTTCTTTGGTAATAATCTAGTAATTTAGTAATAACTTAAGTGCTAATTATGTATTTGAAAATGTGCAAAATTTTAACAGTGCTGAAGACCTTGACGGTTTGGGTAATAGTGCGTGTTAATTACAAACATGCTTTAACTTTATTATTTATGGCTTACGTAAAAAGGAAATCGTAGTGGCGATATACAAACAATTAATATCATTTTCTTTATAATTCATTTGACTAGATACTGACTATTATTTATCTAGCTTCTTTCTCTTAGATTGAAAATCAGTTCACTAGTTAATTTATATGGTGATGAAGTATTGTTATAAACAGTTATTTATGGTGTTACAAATTATCTTTTTCCATATACAAAAACTGCCAACGGCTCAGTAAATAGTAATAAAAATAATTATATTTAAACCAAGAGCGCAGCGTATCGTTACACTGTATGCGCACGCGCCGTTATATAACATGCTTAAGAGATATGATGCATTAATTACTTAATATTTAAAACCTAATTAATCTAACTGCTTCGGTGCTCGTGTGGTAGGAAGCGGAATTGCCGAACGAGAAAAATCCTTTTGCATCCCCGGAATTTGTGCAAAGAATTATTGCGATTGTATAATCATAACATAACTGACAGAAAGTGGATGTTACTACACTTACATAATATGCCCCTCTATCGAGAAGAAAAAGAAAACGTAAATCTGTCCTTTCAAAGAATAAAATATATAGTATTAACTACACTGCCTCGTTGGCTTAGTGGTCGCAAGTGCCGGGCAAGGAGTCTCGGGTTCGATTCCCGGGTCGGGAAAATTATTACTGGGTTTAAAAAAATCCCAGTAGTAGCACGGTGTCTGGAATTGTGCCCAGTATATGGCAATAGGCTCACCCTATTACATGGGACTCATAACATAAATAGTGAAAAGTGGGTGTTACATTGTACAGTAGCATTAAGTGCCGTAATGTTCACCTCTGTCTACCCCTACGGGGATAAAAGGCGTGATGTAATGTTATTATTAACTATTATTATTAAATTATTCCAGATGGCAGCTTCAGAAAACGTGGCATTAAAAGACGAATTAGATGCATTAAGAGAGACGGCAGCTAAGGCGGCGGCCTTGGAAGCTACGGTCGCTTCCTACAAGAAGAGAATGGAGGAACACGTGGACTTGAGAAGGCAGGTGAAGCTTCTAGAACGAGCTAATACGGAGCACGTCCAGCGCGCCATTGAACACGAACAAGCCGCCGCTAAAGCGAACGCGATACGAGCACAACTTGACATTTATAAAAAACAAGTAAGTGCTTTGTTATGTGTTATCTTATTTCTATAACTTTAGTTATTGTCTTTATTATTAGAACTTGTTGCATTTTGTCAGAATACTGAAACGCTACTCAATTTTAAGTCGTCCTTAAGTATAGTTCTATCTCTACAAATTCTTTGTAAAATGACAGAGATGGCACGATATTTGAGCACGACTTAAAATTTAGTAACGTTTCAGTATTCCGGCATTAGTCTCATAAGTGTGAACAGAAATTACAGGGTCGCTTATTATGATCCCCGCATACTTTCGCGTCATCGGCATTATTCACATTACGTTTATTTTTGACTAACTGAACCGGCAACTTCGTCCGCGTTTTTTTAAAATAAATGTAGCTCATGATACTCCTTAGTACATCAGCTGCCTTCTAATAAAAGTTCCGTTAAAATCGGTCCAGTTATTTCGGAGATTAGCCAGTATAAACAAACAGACAGACAGACAAAAATTTTAAAAAGTGTTATTTTGGTATTTGTATATTAATTGCATATAGTAAAAGGGATGCGCATGCACATATGCGAAATTCTTAGTTTTCATTTTTAAGCAATACCTCTAAAAAGGTAGAAATTGTAAGGTCACATTTTCTAACCGAAGATTTGTAATCAGAGCAAAAAAGACAAATAAACTCAGTACCCTAAAATATACCAATGTTATTTACAGGTAATGGACCTAAATGAGAAGTTAGACGCAGAGATAACAAAGGCGGATAAGCTGGAGATTGAGAACAAGAAGTTGAGCAGTCGCGCCGCGTCAGTGCAGCGGGAGCGGGACGCGTTACTGGCCGAGCGGGACACGCTGCGGGATACTGTCGATGAACTGCGCTGCTCTACTATTACTGCTGGTAAATACATACATATGGTATGGGGGTAAGCAGAGACTATGGAATATAAGACTGCCCGATTGGTGCGGTGGTTGGGCAACGTGTCGTGGGTTCGATTCCCCCACGGAACAACTCTTTGTGTGATCCATAAATTGTTGTTTCGCGTCTGGGCGTCATGTGTATGTGAACTTGTATGTTTGTAAACGCACCCACGACACAGGAGAAAATCAAAGGGTGGGGCAACATATTAAAAAAAGTTGCTACGATTCCTACAAAGCTCTTTCGCTGGTAAATACTTAAATTTTGTTAATGTCAACAAATTTACTATACTACATTACATTGTATTTACTAGGCGACAATGGGACCCACCGTGTTTTTGCTAACCAGGTGGCGCTAGTGTGCTCCTCTAGTTCTTCGTCCAATAGGGAATTAGCTGGTATCACGCCATTGGACGTTCATTATTTGACAGCTGCTGTAATTAGACAAAACACTTCTTCCTACATTTGTACAATTTGGGGATCAAAATTATGGTAGCCCCCCATTGACGCGTAACCTGTACTAGAATGTTGTTTTAGTGGCAGGGTAGTGCTGGTTATTAAACATGAGATCAAAGCAGATACGAGGTATAAATATTGCAAATTCGATTCTCCTACTGATATGAGCATTTTTGGGATTCTTGTCATTTCGGATCTATATCCGGAAAAGCTAATTTTCGCTAAGCATTTTAAGAGTTCTATTTAATAGGAGACTAGTCTATTAGCATACATTGGGCACTCATTCCAAACTTATTGCTATTGCTTATAAAAAAAAACGGCCGGCACACCCTGACGGTCACTTCGATAATTTTCTAACAAACTTTGATTTTTGTACGTAGTATTTTATTTTTAATAAATGATTCCAGGTGCCAATGAAGATAATGTGTCCCGGGAACTGATCCCCAATGATCTCAAGGAACAACTAATTCGATTGGAACACGAGAACAAACTGTTACGACAGAACCAGGATCAAGCATCAGTGCAGGTATGATTTACGTCATTAGTAATATTTGATTAGCGATATACGACTTTAGATCTTTGTAATAAAGACGTTTTTTGTACCAAGGTAAAATACATACCGATTTAAGCAATACGGTAGTATCATAGCCAAATGTTATTCCCGGACCCTCCACAATCCTCAAATTCCCAATTTCCAAAAGGCCGGTAACGTACTTGTTGGTGGAAACACCAAGGCGTTACAAGTACAAATCCGCGCCGCTTATGGTCACCCGAAAAGTTCTTACCATCAGGTGATCCGTCAACTCGTTTACCGGCCATATGCTATAAAAAAAATTATGTACAGATATGTCTTAGTTAGATTTAATGTATTTCGATAGTAGGCTTCCGCCTCGAAATCAAAGAAACACAATGTCTGTTCAAGAGCTTGTTCTCATTAAAAATGATGTATTTCTTTCAGGCTCTTTTAGAAGATTATGTGGCGAGATTAGAGAAGCAACGAGCAATGAATCGGGAAGCGAACCAACGTATCATGCAGTTGGAAGCTACGTTGGAGGCACCGCATCCGAGATTAGCATCTGCTATTGAGGATAATCAGAGGAAATGTAAGTCACTATTTTAGACTTTGTCACGTGTAGAATAAGACATCATTCACACGGGAGCTTTTTTCAAATAGAACAAATGCATCATTTTTAATGACGGGATCCTTTTGGGTTAAAATCTAGATTATTACCTCACTAAAACCACCCTGAGCATCTGTAAGGAACACCGGGTTCTCTAATACACCTGCACTGAATGAACAAATGCATCTAGCGTCTATATAATTATGTTCATACGTCCAAGGCACTGGACTCCGTCAAATTTTAAATGCCTTAATTGGCACGACTACTAGAAGAATAATGACAAAATGTGCTACTTTGCTGTCACCAAACGGCACATTTCCATGCAATTCATGTAATTTAAGTACATAATTTGTATTATTTCAGCATTGCAAGTAGAAGAATTACAAGCAGCCCTAGCAGAGGAACGGCGGAGGATCACAAAGTTACAAGAGGCGGTAGCGGCGAGAGACGCAGAACTGTTAGCCACTGAGGATAAATACAAGAAGTGCTTGGAGAAAGCTAAGGATGTCATCAAGTCGCTAGATCCTAGGGCCTCTGGTCAGTACATATTTTAGTACGTTACCTGTATTTCTATAGTTATAAGCATCCTCCATTTTTAGTTCATCCAGTTATTATACAATGGTTTAGTGTACGGACAAACTGTTCACACAGAAGCCTTCAGTAGCATTGAATTTTGGTCTACAGCTTTTGTTACTTAATCCCAATTAGTCACACAGCTTATGTCATCATTCTTGTTTACAGAGTTGTGTATAGTAGAAATTGGTAATCACATGCTTGTACAATCCTCGAAACATTAACCTTATCCTTTTTCTTTAAAACATTGAAATAATATACGTTAAAAAATGTGTTTCACTTACAGCTCAACCGTCATTATCAGACATAACGTTAGGATACTCTCGTGCGGCGGGCGCCGGGGCTGGACCCTCGAGACCTGAGATCGCACCAGCAGCAAGTAATAGGAATGAGTGAGTATATTTTACATTACATCTTTTAGTTTCATTCTGATCGCAATTTTGATTTATATTTTTGCACTATAATTTAAAAGTACTACATCACCCATAAAGAATTTGTTTAATCAATAGCATGTAGAGCGACGATTTATGTTTTGGCTAAAGAATAAATTGAATAAATGATAGTTACTTCTGTTAATAATATTTACGATTTAAAATCAAGCGCTTTTACTCATTAATATTTTGAGACCGACCTCATCTAGCTACTCATAAAGCTACTCAAATACCCAAATATTAACGGTATCCGTGTACGCAGTTGGTCAGGCAGTGCGGAGGACAGTGCACGTGGAGGCAATGGCGCGGGAGCGAGCGAGCAGAGACTGTTGACGAGTGCCTGGTACACGCTGGGGGCGCGCTGCCACAGGGACGCAGTGGACACTCGGTTCACGTTGCTGTCCGCGGGCCACTCGTTCCTGGCGCGCCAACGTCGCCAGCCCCCCCGCCCGCGCCCGCACGCGCCCAGCCCCGCGCCCCCCGCCCCCGCGCAGTGACACGCGTAAGTGCCGACAGCATTACACACTCGGGAACCAACGTACGTCATTAATTCATCAGTGAAATTAGTCTTCTTAAATCTTAATCCAAAATCTCTGGATCAATGTCGGTTTTTTGATCATCTAATGTCAAAAACCGATCGTATTCTACAGATTTTAGGTTGAGATTGGATTTGAAGTTAGTCTACCGATAATATGGCATTTAAACATCACAAACTGCTGTCACAATATATACTGTATTTGACAAAAATGCCTGACGTGCCCCCTTGAAAGCAGACAGTTTAACAGCTGTGTATGTACTCCGATGCTGTGTACTAAGAGTAACTAGCACTTAAGTGTTTACGGAGAAACATGGAAATAAGTCCACAATGTGTTCCATTACCCATCGGTTTGAGCGAACTTATATTTGTGATTGGCCAGGATGTGTGTATCTTTTGTAAATAAAAAATATTTGTGTATAACTATTTACACTAACGTGATTGGTCGCTGGCCGAGCGGTCTCTTCCATCTATAAATGTTCTATTAATTCTACGTCACTTGAAATCACATATAACTTTTGTATCAATTGTATCTGTACGTAAAAACGTGCCGAAAAATCGTCCCAGTGGGGCAGATGTTAGTTTTAAATGAAGACACATTCTGTATTATAAGAACATGTTATGTGACCTAAGTAGACACTTTATTACAATTATTTCCTAATCAATAATGTCTCTTTGTATGAAAAAGACATTTTTTGAGTACTAATTTTGCTCAGAATATGTGTTAACACTAGAAAGACCGGAATTTCGAACTACCTATAAAGACCAAGTGGGGTCAAATGACACCTTCATGGGTTGTAATGTTTTATTCGTGTATTATGGTTTTAAGTTTTATTGATTAGCATCCAATAATGAATAAAATAACTTAATAGTAATTAAACATCTATTTATTGATAAAAAAATAAAAAAATTAGGCACATTTTTGACATTTTAGCTCCTTGTTTACATTACAAGAGCCACACAAAGGCTTTTTACAACTAACACAAGATTTATTGGTTTTGTTTTTGCATTTTTGTACGTAACACCGTTTCCTCTTTCCACTACGTTCTTCTAGAGGCTCTGGGGGTATGTCTCCGTGTTTTGTTTACCGTACCAACTATTGATGTACGTTTTTCAATTAGCTTTTTAGCCAAACTTACACTGGTGAAAAAATTATCAGTTGTTATATTTCGACCAGTATTCAAGTATGGATCCATTAGTCGCAATACAACCCATTCGCCTAAACTTTGATTTTGTGGGCGGCTTTCATCTCTTCCTAAATATGGGAAACCATTACCTACATAAGTACTTTGAATCAACATCAACGCAAAGCCAAAACATGATTCCAAACTTGTCTGGTTTGTTACCCATGAACTGCAAAAATCTACACCGAACTTTTTTGGAAAAAAGCTGTTCGTCAGCAGTAAGGTTTTCACCAGGCTTGTAACATGAAATACTGTTATGGATGAACTTATTCCATACTTCCGAAATCATTGCAAATTTATCTGTTTGCACACGTTCAGCCCTTTCTGTCCGCACATCGAATCGCAGGAAATGCATTATTTCTTTGAAACGATTCCGAGCCATGTCCTGTGAAGAAAACTGAATACCCCAATTTTTGTCCCAAAGATCATTCACAGCAATATTTTTAGCCCCACAGGCTTCTCGAGCGTAAATAATTGCAATAAAAGTATCTAATTCATTCAATGGGAGTGACCAAGTATTATCTTCAAGTTGCGACGAGCTTCGGTTTCAGTACATTTCTGAATATGTCGCAGCATGGAGTCATCAATGATAAGTTTCCATGCAGATAAAATACCTCCTTTATAACACCTTTTTGCAAAAGAAGTTGGTCCAGCTTCCTCTGTTAGAATATTCTGTCGTGGACGACGACCAGGCTGATTCAAAACTGATAAGTTTCCAGGAGTCCAACTTATACCGGTAGAAGATACCTCGACACTGATGTCTTCACTTCCTGAGTCTAAAAATGCAAAATATGCCTCTCTTCTTCAGTCGCTTCACAATCGGATTGGTCGTCCGGTAAATTTTGCAGCACTTCCAATATTTTAGAAGGCGAAAGGGAACGATAATTAGGCATTATAATTATATTATGGCGAGCCGTGATATACGTCTTTACTTTGACAAGAACAAAACAATAAAGAAATGAAATATTTTATTTCAAGTACCCACTACAAGAGGATATTCAACGAAATAATACAAAGCACGCATACATTGGTGTCAAATGACCACTTCGGTCTTTCTAGGTAGGTGATAATTTTTAATTTGTATTTATCTAGCTATCGATATACACATATCAGAATAATGTAAACAATGACGAAATATTAAAAGTCATAAAACGACACTGACTTCATTGTTATGGTTTTGTTATTATGATTGATCAAAGACTTCATTGGGGTCATTTGACCACTCTGGTCTTTCTAGTGTTAATTATTTTAGATTATTAAGTTATAAAGCACGAAATGTAACCACCTGGTTAAATTAGCTATTATGTATAAATGTCAAGAAACTTTTAGAAAACATTGCAATATTTAGTTATGTATTATTTTGTGATTTTCTAGATAGATATTGGCGATAAATTGTTGTAAGGTTAAAATATTCAGAAGAGAAAGTTAACAAAGGTAGTGTGGCTCTAACTATAGGGCCTTTGTTCTATTCAAAGTAATCGATCATTTCCCAAAGGTCCATAGATTTTCCACATGAGATCTTTAAGGTTTTAAGACAAAAGAGTTTCACTTTCAACAAATGGATTACTTTGTATCTGTCCTCTGAACAAAATAGATTTTTACTAGACAACATTTCGAAGTTGTTTTGTTGCGTGTATAAACTCGAAACTACGCAGTAATTTTGATCTTTCGATGTGTATTTTTAACGTTAAATAATAATTAATTCGAACAAATAATATGCAAGTTTATAGTTATTAACCGTCAAAGACAAGTTTGCGCTAACTTTGCGTAATTTTGCGCTGTCATAAGCGCAACTTGAAGTTGCTGAGACTTTTCCACCGTATTAGTGCAACATCAATCTAATACCTTGTCGATTTCAAATTTATTTCGATATATCAATATTGGTGGTTAAAATATATTCGGTGTTAAAAATTTACCATGATTGGTGCTTTCTCAAAGACATTCGTGTAAACATTTTAGAGTAGAATAGCCAAGAAGAATAAGCTTAATTCAAGGAAATATTTTCAATCTGCAATACACAATTCTTTCAGTTATTGTGACTTACCATGAATGATAATTTACTACAAATGGTTGGTAGAGATTGGCTAGATCGGGGTGAATAGAAACTACATGTTTACTCAATGTACCTATAATTGTCTGTATGAACTAAATTCTATTATTACAAACATCTATTTCTATTCTATCAGTCTATATTCTATTTATCTTGTTGTTGTAAAGTCTCTATTCACTTCTTTATTATTATTATTTGTGATTTTCTTTCTGTACATCACTTCTAGTATTTTTTTCGTTTCATTAAGGTCATTGGAGGTCAATGATTTGTGTAGGACTGTAGGCGATATTCGTGATAAGATAAGAGTATATATCTGTATGGTTCATGGGATACAAAGCTATGGTAAAGTCCTTGAGCTAATCTACTCCCGTCCCTTCGAGTTATAACATTGACATAATGTAACCGATAAAATAATATATTTTATGTATAGGCAAACGCCAAATACTTTCCTTAAACTGTGACAATATTATATTTTCCGCTAATTTACCTTATTTTAGTTTAGGTTAACAAAATATGTGTGATCCTAGAACAAATCTAAGCTTTGTGCACTACATAATTATATTTTAAGATAATAATTATCCTAATGTTTATAACATCGTTTTATATCAGTATTTTGTTAATATTTATAAATGTTGTAACCGAAGTCTTGTCTAATCAGAATTTATTATTTGTTAATTTTTGTAAACTATTATTATCACATTAGCAATCAAATCAGACATTATTATTGTCAATATGTATAGAATATATCAATTATTATGCATTTTATGTTGTATTTAAGTATGTAAAAATTCGATTAATTAATACTGGTGACAGTATCAGTACAGTGGATGGAACTATTGATGCGGAGCAGTGCAAATTATTTATTTAATTTTAGTATAAATTGTAATTTATTGTTAATGATGACAATATAGTTTTGGATTTTTAATATAATTATATTATTTTTGTTTTTACCTCACACAAACCTCTATTTCTCGAATACTGAAAGGGTACTCGATTTTAAGCTGTGCCTAAATATCATGCCGTCTCTGTCATTTTATATAGAACTAGCTTCAGCCAGCGACTTCGTACGCGCAATCCCGTTCTTTCCACTTCCCGTTCGTGATTTATCGGCGAAAAGTAAAAAAAAAATCGATGAAAAAGTATCCTATGTCCGTCTCCTGGTTCTAAGCTATCTCCCCACCAATTTTCATCCAAATCGATGTAGCCGTTCTTGAGTTATAAGTAGTGTAACTAACACAACTTTCTTTTATATATATAGAAGATTTGTAGGGACAGAAATAGTCTTAAGTGCTATTTAAAATTGACTGGCGTTTGAGTATTGAACATATGATACATACCTTATAATACGAAAAAATGAAATACAGGAAATCGTGTAGAAAAACAAAATCCGTTAAGTGATTTCATAATTTATTTGTAATTGAGATCACAAGCAACTTAAAATTTAACTTATATCACATCAAACCATACTACACAATATAATGTGGTCACGGCTTTACAATACACGGTCAAATTTTGCACCAAACAACATGAGGAAACACAAAAATCACTAAAGCAAAACTCGTGTAAATTCGTAACAAAGTTAGCGCAGCTTCCGAACTAGCTACTGCCTACTAGTGTAACGATACTGGAAACATATACATTAATCGAAGTTACATTTGTTTATAGACTCATAATTTTGTAACTATTTCTCTTTTTACACACGTACTTAGATCTGTTGGTTCGTCACGA